TAAATACTTTATCTGCGATTAGAGAAAACAAGACTGCAGGCCTCAGGCACGCTTTGTTATTTAATGTGTGTGGGATATTTTACCTGCACATTGCTGCTTGAGAGAGAGAGAGAGAGAGAGAGAGAGAGAGAGAGAGAGAGAGAGAGAGAGAGAGAGAGAGATAGAGAGAGAGAGAGAGAGAGAAGAGCGAGCAGAGATAACGAGAGAGAGAGAAGAGATAGAGCGCGATCCTATCTGCGCTCTCTCGCCTTCTTCAGCGATCTCTCTCGCTCTCTATCTCCTCTGCTCCTCTCTCTCTCCTCTTCTCGACTATAGATCGAGCTATAGATCGAGATATAGAATATCATCGATAGGAGAGGATCGAGACTAAAACCATTGTATTTATTTCGTCATAATATAACATGCCTCTGTTCTTTTGAAACTTTTGTGAGTGCAAAGTTTACTGTTAATTTCTGATTGTTTATTTAACTTTTGTTTATTATCTATTTCATTTGCTTTGGCAATGTAAACATATGTTTTCCATGCCAATAAAGTCAATTGAATTGAGAGAGTTCTATACTGACAGTATAAGCCTTGGTCTAAACACGCAATGGAGTCCATTGTGATTGGCATCTGTACCGCCACCAACATGTGGAGAATCTACAGTCAATACTGTAGAGTGGAGACATGTACATTACCAGTGGCAACCTGTCATTCAGGGCAGAGCCCCACCTGTTTTGAGCCCCACATTTTTAGATAAAAATAAAATAAAAAATAAAAAATAATTTTTTGCCTGTTTTGCATGTTATTTTGCCATTAATACATGTCACATATCAGTTTGCAAACAATGTAAAAAAAACAACAACAACATAATCATGTAGTTAATAAAGCCGCATACAAAAATTGTCTCTTTTTTGCTTTCTTGCGTAAGGCAGCTCCAAAATGCAGGTGCTTTCTGTGGTGGTGGGGCAGCCAGCGGAAAATACGAAGCGTAGGGTTGGTAATGTTCTCTAGTTGCGCCGTGATTGGCTCAGTGTTCTATCCCTCATGGGGACACTACGTCACCGCCAAATCTAAGGGTAGAGCTCGAAAATTCAAGCCCCTTGGGTGCTGCCATAGAGTTACATTAGAAGTGCCCATCCAAGAAGGCTCAAAATCATTGGCCACAGATAAATTTGACTTCAAATCACGTTATATCTACAGTAGCTTTGATTGGACTGATCATGTCAACATCATACTTTCAAAATCTTAGGTAGCAGTCATCATCATGAATCAGGTCGACAATCTACTGGCAAATCCTTTTTAATCCTTGTCATATGAAGAGAAATAATGAAGAGAAATTATAGATAAAACGTATCGGTGCTCATTGGACATAAACATTACACAACAAGTTGGAAATCGCAAATTCAACAATGAGTGGTTTGGAAGAAATCATTGGCTAACTGCAAGAATTGCAAAGCAATCACTAGCCTGCTATTCAGTGGAGTGGCTGTGTGGTCCCAAGTCTGGGTTTAAGGGTCTCTTTTCCAAGTTAAAAATGATAAACATTCAACATTGGCCATGCTGTCAATCCAGCATGATTTCTGCCACGCTCCAAACAACTGTTAACTCAGAACTGGGAAATCTGACTTCAGTGAGTTCAAGACAACTGGGAACTCGGGGAAAAAACGAGCTCCAACTGGGAAAATACATTTTGAACAGTCATCCATCTCGGAATTGTAAGTCGGGAACTCGGGCCTCTTTCTAGAGCTACGACCTGAAGATCACTGGCGTCATCATGATTCAACCTTGTTTTTTTCAGAGTTCCCAGTTGTCTTGAAAGCAACATAAATCCAGAGAATGCCAGACTTTGATGACAAAGTTTGATGACAAAATTTTCGCACGAAGGAACGTCGCGCCACCTTCCTGTTCAAGTGAGCACAGCACAACAAGGTGAGTCCAAAAATATATTGTATGCTGCTGCATAAATGATGTAATATGCCAGGGAGATATGTATACTGTAGCTAAGAAAGTAATCCTACGTGTATGTTGTGTAGTAAGCTGTGAGTAGCCCATGTGCCTCACCCTAATAATTTGATCTATTTCCCCCTCTTAATTTCGCCTAATGTTCTGACTTGGTGGTGCACATGTAGCCAATAACCTGTTTTAGAGAAATGCAATCATTGAATATTGTAAGAGCTTTCATTGTCTGCTTATATGCCCCCTTTATTTATCCTATGGTTCTGACTTGGTGTACAGGGAGAACACTGTAAGAACGGCCCATGTTCTGAATTCTGTCGCTGTACATTTCAAAAGTGCTGAACAAATAGTTATATTGACTACGTCCGTACTAGCTCGCTCATTAATGTCTTCATTGAAATTACGGATTGCATCTTGTCCGCTTGTCGTCCCCTTATGCCATAGTTTGTACATCTCAATTGTCACTAGAAACCACATTTGTTTAAGCTAGTCAGCCATATCAGCTATGTTTTTTTAAAAGGCAGTAAATGAGGCTAAATTAACTGTTTTGCTGCCAGACAAGGCTCTGCTGATAGCCAGGTGTAGCAGTGGTAAGGTGTTGGGACTGCTGTTGGGACTCTGCTGTTGGGACAGCTTTATGTAGGCCCTAACAGTTTGTGGGCACCATTTGTCACTGTTATAGTGCAATTCATGTATTGTTTAATGTTGTGTTGTGTTGTGTAGTGGCTTTGCTGGCATGTATCCCCCAAAACATTATTTTGTTTGCCCCACCAAGATTTACATGCTAAAATCGCCGCTCTACATTACAGACTACACACTATGTCCATTCACATCTACAAATCCCCTTTAGAAGGCAGCTGTCCCCTTGATTAACAACAGAGAGAGGGAGGAAGAGACTGTGGAAGTAGAGAGGGTGTTATGATTATTAAAATACATTATTATATAAAATATATTATACACTGCTCAAAAAAATAAAGGGAACACTTAAACAACACAATGTAACTCCAAGTCAATCACACTTCTGTGAAATCAAACTGTCCACTTAGGAAGCAACACTGATTGACAATAAATGTCACATGCTGTTGTGCAAATGGAATAGACAACAGGTGGAACTTATAGGCAATTAGCAAGACACCCCAATAAAGAAGTGGTTCTTCAGGTGGTGACCACAGACCACTTCTCAGTTCCTATGCTTCCTGGTTGATGTTTTGGTCACTTTTGAATGCTGGCGGTGCTTTCACTCTAGTGGTAGCATGAGACGGAGTCTACAACCCACACAAGTGGCTCAGGTAGTGCAGCTCATCCAGGATGGCACATCAATGCGAGCTGTGGCAAGAAGGTATGCTGTGTCTGTCAGCATAGTGTCCAGAGCATGGAGGCGCTACCAGGAGACAGGCCAGTACATTAGGAGACGTGGAGGAGGCCGTAGGAGGGCAACAACCCAGCAGCATGACCGCTACCTCCACCTTTGTGCAAGGAGGAGCAGGAGGAGCACTGCCAGAGCCCTGCAAAATGACCTCCAGCAGGCCACAAATGTGCATGTGTCTGTTCAAACGGTCAGAAACAGACTCCATGAGGGTGGTATGAGGGCCCGACGTCCACAGGTGGGGGTTGTGCTTACAGCCCAACACCGTGCAGGACGTTTGGCATTTGCCAGAGAACACCAAGATTGGCAAATTCGCCACTGGCGCCCTGTGCTCTTCACAGATTAAAGCAGGTTCACACTGAGCACATGACAGACGTGACAGAGTCTGGAGACGCCGTGGAGAACGTTCTGCTGCCTGCAACATCCTCCAGCATGACCGGTTTGGTGGTGGGTCAGTCATGGTGTGGGGTGGCATTTCTTTGGGGGGCCACACAGCCCTCCATGTGCTCGCCAGAGGTAGCCTGACTGCCATTAGGTACCGAGATGAGATCCTCAGACCCCTTGTGAGACCATATGCTGGTGCGGTTGGCCCTGGGTTCCTCCTAATGCAAGACAATTCTAGACCTCATGTGGCTGGAGTGTGTCAGCAGTTCCTGCAAGAGGAAGGCATTGATGCTATGGACTGGCTCGCCCATTCCCCAGACCTGAATCCAATTGAGCACATCTGGGACATCATGTCTCGCTCCATCCACCAACGCCACGTTGCACCACAGACTGTCCAGGAGTTGGCGGATGCTTTAGTCCAGGTCTGGGAGGAGATCCCTAAGGAGACCATCCGCCACCTCATCAGGAGCATGCCCAGGCGTTGTAGGGAGGTCATACAGGCACGTGGAGGCCACACACACTACTGAGCATCATTTTTACTTGTTTTAAGGACATTACATCAAAGTTGGATCAGCCTGTAGTGTGGTTTTCCACTTTAATTTTGAGGGTGACTCCAAATCCAGACCTCCATGGGTTGATACATTTGATTTCCATTGATCATTTTTGTGTGATTGTGTTGTCAGCACATTCAACTATGTAAAGAAAAAAGTATTTAATAAGATTATTTCATTCATTCAGATCTAGGATGTGTTGTTTAAGTGTTCCCTTTATTTTTTTGAGCAGTGTATAATTTCTCTGTAAATACATGTTTGCCCCAAACATACTCACTTTAAATTGTACTACTTTATTAAAAACTAATTACATTCTTTCTCTCTAACCAAATTGATTATTTATCTTTAGGCTCCATTACTGGTAAATGTCAAAAAGTCTAAATGACAAAATATTAGATCAATGTACCTCAAAATCTTTTTGTTGGAGTGAATTAAAATGTTGAGATTAGACAGATGACATTTTTTGTTGAGAAAGACTAGTGGCATCCAGGGAAAGTGTTGGTGACATAAAGTGGTTTCTGTGAGAATTACAGGAGGGGGGGCGTTTAACCCTGGGGGGCTTTTAACCCCAAGTGTGTGTGCGTGCGTTTTGAATGTGTGTTGCTGAACACTGTTGATATGGACATGTGTTTACATAAATAAATGAACCTCCTCAAAGATATCGTCCTGGATTAAACATTTGATATACACCCGATTCTATATTGACCTGTATCATTCCTAATACTCCAATCAAATGTTTAGGCAAATATATATGCACTTACATGGAGACCTTAACGACACTACCAGGAATGAAGGAGAACAGAAGGTATACAGTGAACAGGTATACCATAAGGTCAATTAACAGTGAGTATTATAAACAACATACACTTTCCCACAAAATGTCCATAGGAAGAGAAAGAGTGAGGCAGGGTTGCCAGGATAATGTCTGGGTGAGAGATGCAGACACCGGTGGTGCATTTCAGACTCAGACTTTTCTGTTTCCATCTATGTGGACTAGCACCCATGTCTCACTGGGGCATGGCTCCAGCGAACCTGCCCTGACTAGGGGCCAAGCCCAGGTCCTGGGTACTTTTCAGCCTCAATTTAATAACAATGGCTAACTCTGAACTTTAACACCTTCTCACAAAGCAACTGACTTGAATGATGGTTCTTGATTCTGCTCGCCCCAAGTCTTAGTGTCACAATCCTGATAGAAACACAATTACACTAGAGCTGACATTAACATAAACACTGGTGACCCACTAGTGTGGGGGTAAGTGTCATTGGAAAAGCACCATGAGTAAATGAGAATGAAAGCTCAACCTGGTGAGGGAAAATAGGAAGGATAAAAAAGGGAGGAAAAAACAGGAGGAGTGAACTACATGCTGGAATAGCCAGCGAGCAGAGCTGTTGACTCCACCTTCCTCCCTTCCCCCTCCCTGCCTCCCTTTCTCTCTCTATTTCTATCTCTCTCTCTCTTTCACACACACAGAATGCTAGCCCACTATCTGACCACAGAGTGAGCTCAGTTAATTGTGGAAAGCATATTGTTTCTCCACGTCTCTCTCTCCCTCTCACTCGCTCTCCCTCTCTCTTTCACTCTTCCACATGGGATCCTAAAAGACTGGACTATCTCTTCTTTGGATATCCTCCTCCTGCTTTGGGATTTAACTGAGAGTAGAGCAAGCTTTCTTTCCTGTTGTCAGAATTTTCTATATTGATCTCTTCTGGGGATTACCACAGGAATACCTCCTGTGTGTGTGTGCTTTTGAGCGTGTGTGTGTGTGAGTGTGTGTGTCCTGTGCCATGCCCGCTCCTGGTCGTTTTGGGACTAACGGCAGTGGATCAGCATGAAGGGGGGTCACCATCAGCGGGGGTGTGGGTGTCAACACCTGTTCCGAAAAGTACTGGCTAAGTGTGGCTGCTGCTATGCCCGAGTCCGAGGTTGGTACATCTCTGCCTTATGTCCGTCATCTTCACCTAGCTACTTCTCTTCACTTTACTGGGCTCAGATGAGATGGGAGTTTAGTTTGCTTTCTCAGTTATACTGTAGGTCAGATGGTCTGTGCAGTTGTGAAGTCTGTGTTTTTTGCTGCTGTAAACTTACACAGGTTTGTCCGAGATGGGCTGAGATCAGATGATGAGAGAGAATCAGCAGAGCTCGTTGGTTGATATTCAATCTGTTTTTAGGTCAGATAATACTAGCGAATGGGCACCATTAAGTATAGCCTATACTCTACTTCACTGTCCCAGTCTGTTGTTCTGTGATCAGATATTGAGACCGAGACACTGCAACAGATATGGGACCTCTTACAGACTGAACTTTACTAACTCCAACTCTGAGTGTAACCAGTGGTGTACCACAGTTTCGTGGGCCCCCCGCAAGGTCTGAGACAGCGCCCCCCCCAAACAGCTAACTTCCTACAATTCTACATAATTTGCAGTTTTATAGCTTATCTCATGCTACTCTACACATTTTGCAATGAGGCTGAGAGAATTTAGCATTTTTATTGGGGTATTATGACTCATACTACGGTACTCTATGCATAATCCTGATTTTACTTATGCAGGAAAATAAAACAAAGGCATGTGATATATCAGAAATTGTGTAATCGAATATTTTTGTCAACCTAAAATATTTCATATAATCATAAATACAGTTTATATGCGTTTTATACAAATGTTCTGTATAAATAGCCTAAAAAATATATGTAAACATGCATAAATGTCTAAATTGTTGTTTTCTTGGAAAGCTGAGAGTGCTATTATATGATACAATATCAGTACTTGTTGCATTTACAACTTGTCCTACCATTTACTGCTTTAAGCCAGTGTATGGCTGTGGATTGACTGCATTGTTTGAATAGAATGTTGGCATATTGGCAGTTCATTTGAAACATTTGTGGAATCATTCCTCTAAAACTGTCTGGCTAGCTAGCCAACAAACATTTAGTGCGGATAAATTCTTCAAATTCATTATTTTACAAAATATCTTATCACAGAAATGGAAAACCATGGTTGACCAACTCCCTGACCAAAATGTCTGACCTTTATTGCATCATAAGAAGGTTCATGTCCAATCTAGTATTCTAATTACTAATTTTATGGGGGCGAACTCCAGGAGGTGTGTGGAACGCCAGCCTCTATCTTTCACTCACTCTTTCATTCTCTTTTTTTTATCAGTCTGTCTGTCCTTCTCTCTCTTAACTCCTCATTCCTTTGTACTCTTCTCTCCTGTTCTCTCTCGGGGAGAGACAGCAGAAGAGAATTGACAGTGATGTTTTGCTTAGACTCCAACTCCTCCAGAGGAAATTAAATGAAATGTCTTTGGCCCTGGTTGTGTTCACTCTGCTCTGGGTTTTGCAGCAGACACAATGCTAGTCTCATGCGGATAAGGTGAGCTGTGCAGTGTGTGAAAATGTATCACTCTAGACAGTTATATAAAGTTAGAACAGTGACATAATTATTATATTCTCAGTAATATAGAGTTCAAACAAAAATAGTGCCTTCGGAAAGTTTTCAGACCCCTTCACTTTTTCCACATTTTGTTAAGTTACAGCCTTATTCAAAAATTTATTAAATTTGTTTTCCCCCCCTCATAAATCTACACACAATAACCCATAATGACAAAGCAAAAACAAAAACAAGGTTTTTCTTTATTTTTACTATTTTCTGCATTGTAGAATAATAGTGAAGACATCAAAACTATGAAATAACACATATGGCATCATGTAGTAACCAAAAAAGAAATATATTTGAGATTCTTCAGCTTTGCACACTCTTGGCATTCTCTCAACCAGCTTCATGATGTAGTCACATGGAAGGCATTTCAATTAACTGGTGTGCCTTCTTAAAAGTTAATTTGTGGAATTTTTTCCTTCTTAATGCGTTTGAGCCAATCAGTTGTGTTGTGACAATGTAGGGGTGGTATACAGAAGATAGCCCTATTTGGTAAAAGACCAAGTCCATATTATTGCAAGAACAGCTCAAATAAGCAAAGAGAAACGACAGTCCATCATTACTTTAAGACAGGAAGGTCAGTCACTCCGGAAAATTTCAAGAACTTTGAAAGTTTCTTCAAGTGCAGTCACAAAAACCATCAAGCGCTATGAGGAAACTTGCTCTCATGAGGACCACCACAGGAATGGAAGACCCAGAGTTAACTCTGCTGCAGAGGATAAGTTCATTAGAGTTACCAGCCTCAGAAATTGCAGCCCAAATAAATGCTTCACAGAGTTCAAGTAACAGACACATCTCAACATCAACTGTTCAGAGAGGACTGAGTGAATCAGGCCTTCATGGTCGAATTTCTGCAAAGAAACTACTACTAAAGGACACCAATAAGAAGAAGAGACCTGCTTGGGCCAAGAAACATGAGCAATGGACATTAGACTGGTGGAAATATGTCCTTTGGTCTGGAGTCCAAATTGGAGATTTTTGGTTCTAACCGCCGTGTCTTTGTGAGACGCAGTGTGGGTGAACGGATGATCTCCGCATGTGCATTTCTCAACGTAATGCATGGAGGAGGAGGTGTTATGGTGTGGGGGTGCTTTGCTGGTGACACTGTCTGTGATTTATTTAGAATTCAAGGCACACTTAACCAGCATGGCTACCACAGCATTCTGCAGCGATACGCCATCCCAGTTTGGGCTTAGTGGGACTATCATTTGTTTTTCAACAGGACAATGACCCAACACACCTCCAGACTGTGTAAGGGCTACTTTACTAAGAAGGAGAGTGATGGAGTGCTGCATCAGATGACATGGCCTCCAGAATCCCCCGACCTCAACCCAATCGAGATGATTTGGGATGAGTTGGACCGCAGAGTGAAGGAAAAGCAGCCAACAAGTGCTCAGCATATGTGGGAACTCCTTAAAGACTGTTGGAAAAGCATTCCAGGTGAAGGTGGTTGAGAGAATGCCAAGAGTGTGCAAAGCTGTCATCAAGGCAAAGGGTGGCTATTTGAAGATTCTCAAATATAAAATATATTTTGATTTGTTTAACACTTTTTTGTTTACTACATGATTCCATATGTGTTATTTCATAGTTTTGATGTCTTCACTTTTATTCTACAATGTAAAAAATAGTAAAAAAAAAAAAAAAACCTTCAATGATTAGGTGTGTCCAAACTTTTGACTGGTAGTGTAAGTATTCAGACCCTTTACTCAGTACTTATTTGATGCAACTTTGGCAGCGATTACAGCCTTGAGTCTTCTTGGATATGACGCTACACGGTTTGCACACCTGTATTTGGGGAATTTCTCCCATTCTTCTCTGCAGATCCTCTCATGCTCTGTCAGGTTGGATGGGGAGAATCGCTGCACAGCTATTTTTAGGTCTCTCCAGAGATGTTCGATCGGGTTCAAGTCCGGGCTCTGGCTGGGCCACTCAAGGACATTCAGAGACTTGTTTCCGAAGCCACTCCTGCATTGTCTTGGCTATGTGCTTAGGGTCATTGTCCTGTTGGAAGGTAAACCTTCACTCCAGTCTGAGGCCCTGAGCGCTCTGGAGCAGGTTTTCATCAAGGATCTCTCTGTACTTTGCTCCATTCATAATTACCTCGTTCCTGACTAGTTTCCCAGTCCCTGCCACTGAAAAACATCCCCACTGCATGATGCTGCCACCACCATGCTTCACCGTAGGGATGGTGCAAGGTTTCCTCCAGACGTGATGCTTGGCATTCAGACGTTACGCTTGGCATTCAGGCCAAAGATTCCATCTTGGTTTCGTCAGACCAGAGAATCTTGTTTCTCATGGTCTGAGAGTCTTTAGGTGCCTTTTGGCAAACTCCAAGCGGGCTGTCATGTGCTTCCGTCTGGCCACTCTATCATAAAGGCCCGATTGGTGGAGTGCTGCAGAGATGGTTGTCCATCTGGATGGTTCTCCCATCTCCACAGAGGAACTCTAGAGCTCTGTCAGAGTGACCATCGGGTTCTTGGTCACCTCCCTGACCAAGGCCCTTCTCCCCCGATTGCTCAGTTTGGCTGGGAGGCCAGCTCTAGGAAGAGTCTTGGTGGTTCCAAACGTCTTCCATTTAAGAATGATGGAGGCCACTGTGTTCTTGGGGGTCTTTAATGCTGCAGAATACATTTTCTGGTACCCTTCCCTAGATCTGTGCCTCGACACAATCCTGTCTCGGAGCGCTACGAACAATTCCTTCGACCTCATAGCTTGGTTTTTGCTCTGACATGCATTGTCAACGGTGGGACCTTATATAGACAGCTGTGTGCCTTTCCAAATAATGTCTAATCAATTGAATTTACCACAGGTGGACTCCAATCAAGTTGTAGAAACATCTCAAGGATGGATAAGAGCGTCTGCTAAACGATGTAAATGTAAAATATTCAATGGAAACAGGATGCACCTGAGATCAATTTCGAGTCTCGTAGCAAAGGGTCTGAATAATTATGTAAATAAGTTATTTCTTTTTTAAATTTGTAATACATTTGCAAACATTTCTACAAACCTGTTTTCGCTTTGTCATTATGGGGTATTGTGTGTAGATTGCTCCGGATCTTTATTTATTTAATCCATTTTAGAATAAGGCTGTAACCTAACAAAATGTGGAAAAAGTAATGTGGTCTGAGTACTTTCCGAAGGCACTGTATATAGTACTATTGGGTTTAAACTAAGGTTGCAAAATGTACATAGACACTGTGACTCTCTGCTCAGTGATGTAGGGTTTACATAGACAGTGATGTAGGGTTTGCATAAACACTGTGGCTCTGCTTAGTGATGAAGGGTTTGCATAGACACTGTGACTCTGCTCAGCGAAGTAGTGTTTACATAGACACTATGACTTTGCACAGTGATGTAAGGTTTACATAGATTCTGATTTGCTCACTGATGTAGGGATTTACATAGACACTGTGACTCTGCTCAGCGATGTAGTGTTTACATAGACACTGTGACTCTTTGCACAGTGATTTAAGGTTTACATAGATACTGATTTGCTCAGTGATATAGGGTTTACATAGACACTATGACTTTGCACAGTGATGTAAGGTTTACATAGATTCTGATTTTCTCACTGATGTAGGGATTTACATAGACATTGTGACTCTGTTCAGTGATATAGGGTTTACATAGACACTGTGACTCTTTGCTTAGTGATGTAAGGTTTACATAGACACTGTGACTCTGCTCAGTGATGTAGGGTTTACATTAACCTAACGTAGCAGGCCTAAAAGAAACGGCTGAAACCTAGATCTCTTACATACTGGTATTGGCGAGAAGGAAAAAAAACTGTCTGCACTGTTCAGCCAATCCAGTAAATGTGGAGGAGGAGTTAAGATGGAGTGTCATCTTGTTAACGTCCAAAAGCGGAAGTCGTGTCGCAGGCTCTCTTTCCATTTCCCCTGAAAACAGGAACATCTAGTTGGGGACTCGGCAGACGCTAGGTTTACATAGACACTGTGACTCTGCTCAATGATGTAGGGTCTTAACAGATACCGAGAGAGTCAGCGATACGCTCACATCTGGAACTTTGCAGTGTCTCGGAATGTGCTGCTTTCGAATCATTGGATCATGGAAACGTTGGAGTCACTGAGTCACTCTGCCAAACATTCCTTTCCCCAAAAAAGCTAGGCTTAAGTAACCCCCTGACCCCCCTCCCCCCAATACACACACAAACTCTGAGCAGCTATCCTTTCCCCAAAGAAACCCTGTTTCCGAGAATAGAAAGGGGATTTATGGGGCGCTGTGGTGAATAAATGTTATGTTCATTATTGTCTGTTCAAAGAAGCACAGAGCTGGTGACTGGTGGATAGAAAAGTGCTCCTGTGCTCTAACTTTGGGGCTACAGGTGCTGTAGTATGGTAACTGTCCAGTTCTGTGGCACATATATCTTTACATCAGAGAGTTGGTTGTTAGGTGCAGATAACATAATAGATTGCTGACCACTGTGGTCTATTAGTATGCTGTAGACATTACTACAGTTTATGTAGAACATAGACCTTTGTCTAAACATTGTGGTATTTGACCGTTGTGATACTCTCTCCTCTTTTTGACTAGAGGTCCTCTCATTTCCTCAAAGCTCTGACTTTGGCACAATTTAGCATTGCTGTGATCCTGCCCTGGCACAGGAGCTGTACAGGAGAGCTCTCCTCTCTATGAGTTAGGGATATCAGAGAGCTCCCTCCCTGCCAAAATATTTCTACTCTTGTAACCACGGCTGTGTGTGTGTGTGTGTGTGTTTGTTTAAGTGTGTGTACATGTTTAAGTGTGTTTGTACAGTGTAGAGATAATCTCCTCTCTCTCTGCCGACGCTGTTTTGATTCATTTCCTAATTTACCACAGGCAAAATATAAAGATACTGTGGCTTGAGGCCTGTTGAGTGACATATCTGCTGCCTGGCTGACTGAGGATTACATCCTCTATCCATCCTGCACACATCCTCAAATACAAGCCAACACACACACAAACATACATGCACGCAGATTGTCAATCGAACAACCTATTTGTGGAGCATGTTAACCTTTTAGCATGTCAGTATATACAGTGAGGGAAAAAAGTATTTGATCCCCTGCTGATTTTGTACGTTTGCCCACTGACAAAGAAATGATCAGTCTATAATTTTAATGGTAGGTTTATTTGAACAGTGAGAGACAGAATAACAACAAAAAAATCCAGAAAAACGCATGTCAAAAATTTTATTAATTGATTTGCATTTTAATGAGGGAAATAAGTATTTGACCCCCTCTCAATCAGAAAGATTTCTGGCTCCCAGGTGTCTTTTATACAGGTAATGAGCTGAGATTAGGAGCACACACTTAAAGGGAGTGCTCCTAATCTCAGTTTGTTACCTGTATAAAAGACACCTGTCCACAGAAGCAATCAATCAATCAGATTCCAAACTCTCCACCATGGCCAAGACCAAAGAGCTCTCCAAGGATGTCAGGGACAAGATTGTAGACCTACACAAGGCTGGAATGGGCTACAAAACCATTGCCAAGCAGCTTGGTGAGAAGGTGACAACAGTTGGTGTGATTATTCGCCTGGCCTGGAGCTCCATGCAAGATCTCACCTCGTGGAGTTGCAATGATAATGAAAACGGTGAGGAATCAGCCCAGAACTACACGGGAGGATCTTGTCAATGATCTCAAGGCAGCTGGGACCATAGTCACCAAGAAAACAATTGGTAACACACTACGCCGTGAAGGACTGAAATCCTGCAGCGCCCACAAGGTCCCCCTGCTCAAGAAAGCACATATACATGCCCGTCTGAAGTTTGCCAATGAACGTCTGAATGATTCAGAGGAGAACTGGGTGAAAGTGTTGTGGTCAGATGAGACAAAAATGGAGCACTTTGGCATCAACTCAACTCGCCGTGTTTGGAGGAGGAGGAATGCTGCCTATGACCCCAAGAACACCATCCCCATTGTCAAACATGGAGGTGGAAACATTTACATTTTAGTCATTTAGCAGACGCTCTTATCCAGAGCGACTTACAGTTAGTGCATACATTATTTTTTTTCATACCCCTGTGGGAATTGAACCCACAACCCTGGCGTTGCAAACGCCATGCTCTATCAACTGAGCTACATCCCTGCCGGCCATTCCCTCCCCTACCCTGGACGACGCTGGGCCAATTGCGCGCCGCCCCATGGGTCTCCCGGTCGCGGACGGCTACGACAGAGCCTGGATTCGAACCAGGATCTCTAGTGGCACAGCTAGCACTGCGATGCAGTGCCTTAGACCACTGCTCGGGAGACTCGAGTGGCGCTTTGGGGGTGTTTTTCTGCTAAGGGGACAGGACAACTTCACCACATCAACGGGATGATGGACGGGGCCATGTACTGTCAAATCTTGGGTGAGAACCTCCTTCCTTCAGCCAGGGCATTGAAAATGGGTCGTGGATGGGTTTTCCAGCATGACAATGACCCAAAACACACGGCCAAGGCAACAAAGGAGTGGCTCAAGAAGAAGCACATTAAGGTCCTGGAGTGGCCTAGCCAGTCTCCAGACCTTAATCCCATAGAAAATCTGTGGAGGGAGCTGAAGGTTCGAGTTGCCAAACGTCAGCCTCGAAACCTTAATGACTTGGAGAAGATCTGCAAAGAGGAGTGGGACAAAATCCCTCCTGAGATGTGTGCAAACCTGGTGGCCAACTACAAGAAACGTCTGACCTCTGTGATTGCCAACAAGGGTTTTGCCACCAAGTACTAAGTCATGTTTTGCAGAGGAGTCAAATAATTATTTCCCTCATTAAAATGCTAATCAATTTATAATGCGTTTTTCTGGATTATTTTGTTGTTATACTGTCTCTCACTGTTCAAATAAACCTACCATTAAAATTATAGACTGATCATTTCTTTGTCAGTGGGCAAACGTACAAAATCATCAGGGGTTCAAATACTTTTTTCCCTCACTGTAGACCTACGTACCTTATCAACATCCATTTTTTTATTTTTACACATTTCTATTGTTGTGTGTGCGACAAAATAATATAATTTTATTCTCGCACTGGCCCGAATTAGTAGGCCTACATTTGTACATTTGGTCCAGTGTCAGCGTCAGTGTAGAGGGTGATATGTTGTTGCTCCCATCATAAGGCCTTCTCGCTTGTTGTATGAGCCATCAGGAGCATTAAGCTAGCCAATGCAGAGCCATAGATACAGAGTAATGGAATCAACAGGGTGAGAACACAGACAGAAGGCAGAAAGACAGTAAATATGCTCATTTACAGTACAGGCTAGGTTGTGGTGTTTTGGGTAATATAATAAGTGGGTTGTGTCCCAAATGGCACCCTATCCCCAATATAGTGCACTATATTTGACCAGGGCCCATAGGAATAGGGTTCCTTTTAGGAACGGACCTAGTTTTATTCATGAAAGTGCAGTGAAGTGCTATAGGAACAACTGCTCTGTGCCGTAGTGCAGTAGAGCTGATATACCAGAAGGAGATGGAGACTCCAGAATATCATGCTGTTATAATCTGACTTCTGACTGGGACCATACCTTCTGCACCAACAAGATAATACTGATCAATCAGAGAGTTTAATGCCCTCTGGTTGTGTGTCTGTGTGCGGGTGTGGGTTTCCATGCGGGTGTGGGTATGCCTGTGTGTGTCACATCTCTCAGTGTGGTTGCAAGGATATGTGCAAGTGTCTGTCTGCCTTTCCTCTTTTTCTGTGACAGTGTTTGGTTTGCACATGTGAGTTTTATCTCACGTGTTTCAGAGTGGTGTGTGCGTGTGCACGGAGTTGGGGAGTCAGTACTGTGGTGGTACAGATTACCACTCTCTCTCCCTCTTTCTCCCCCAATCCCCCCCCCTTAAATCCTCTCTTGTTCCAGTTGCTCAGGCAGTGATTAAAGTGCAGCTCTATCCATGCTGCAGAGACAGAGACACTGCAAATAGTAGATGTGTGAAATGGGTAAACTAGGAAAGCATTATGTTAGGGATGGCACTCTTATTATGCTGCCTCTCTCTCCCTCCTTCCCCCTCGTTTTCTTTCAAGCAAGTGACAGCATATCTCTTACACCCAGTGTCTCTTTGGTTCTGGCCACTCCACCACCTACACGCACACACGCACGCACCCACACCCCCCCCCCCCCACCCACCCCCCCCACACACACACAGCATAGACTAAGCCATGATGATGATCTCAGTGTATTTTCAACCACCATTCCTCTTGGAAGATCTATCTTTCTGTACTGTAATTATCATAAAGCCTGTCAGACAGTGAGAAAGTGCTCCTGTTAATGTGACAGTGATAATTAACGCTGCCTGCATGGCGTTTTAAAATAAACCCTATCTGAGTGAGGTCACCATCATCATGGTGGTTTGATACTCTGTTATACTGAGAGAGAGAGAGAGGATGGGTCTCCTTATACCCCTACCCCCTGTCTCTCTCTGTCCATTGGTGTTACAGATACAGGTATCCTGTGTCTTTTTGTGTTTTTCCTCTCCTTCTGCCCTAATCACAGGTGTCCTGTATGTTCCTGATTGGTGGTCGTTGGGGTGTCTGCTGATTGCTGAGGTGGACCAATCAGTGGACATTCCTCTGCATTGCACCACCTGTTTCTGGTTTTTCAATCACACATCCCATTGTTTAAAAGCCGGTCAGTTGTTAGAGACTATTTTCGTATGTGAGTATGGATACTGTGGTGTCCTGTGTACTCACTCATTTGCTGGTTACTCTGTTTGGTAACTTTGTGTGTTTCTGGGAAAAGGGGAATTTAAGCAAGTTGCCCTTGGGTGTACATTACCCGTAGGAAGAAAACTGTCTAAAAACACTAGTTAGACCTGAGCGGACCACCCACTGTAATTGTTGTATGATTAGCAGTAGCTTAGCGGTTCTTGAGGCAGGCAAGATCAGTTTAGTTTTTTTTTACACTATTGTTTCATTTCTTGGGTCCTGCTCAGCCCTTTTTCCAAACCTTTACCGTGTGTTCAAAAATAAACCTTTTATGTTTGACGGTAGTTTATGGTTGTCGTGTAGTTTTTGTTCTCGCTGTTCCATGTCACGCTTCTAATTTGCATGAATTATGTTACGGGTCTCTTGTCCATCCACCCTAGACGTTTAAAGCCACAGGGTTCGTAACAAAATGTGGGGGCTCGTCCAGGATCATTCTCATTGATACCCATGCTACTCATGCAAATTAGTTAGTGTCTGGTTCAGTGTTGAGCTTGGCAGCTGTAACTAACTGGTTTTGTGTTCAGTATTTGTCGGCTCGTGCTAGTTTAGGATGGCTACTTTTGAGTTGGATGCCTTTTTGGAAAACCCTACGTGGGAGGTTTTTGAGAATTGCCGTAGAGTGGATCTACAGGCTTTGGCTGACCACTTTTCTGTACCCATATCAAGGGTTTTAGTGAAAGCAGAAGTTAGGAAAGCAGTGTTAGAGATATTATTGAACGAGCGAGTGCTTGAATTACCGCCGCCTGACCCTGCTGCTCCTGTAGGGGATGTGGTTGCTGCTCCTGTAAGCCCGTCGGTGTCTGAGGACGAGGCTCCAGCCACATTGCCCCGTTTTGACCCACTGTCCGACAGTGATGCTAGGATGGATGTCCGCTCGACACGGCTCCAAATGGAGGCGGAAGAGCGGGCACAAATCAGGCAAGACAAGCTGGAGATGCGTAAAATGGAACTAGAGGCAGAACTGGAGACGCGTAGGCTTGATAAATAATGTCCACTGATTGGTCCACCTCAGCAATCAGCAGACACCCCAACGACCACCAATCAGGAACATACAGGACACCTGTGATTAGGGCAGAAGGAGAGGAAAAACACAAAAAGACACAGGATACCTAGTCTGGTTCTGATTTAGAGCGTGTGTGTGTGCTCTTTATTAACACTGCCAGGTGTAAGTGTCTGTCCCCCTTTCTACTCTCTCTCTCCTCTGTCTTTCTACTCTCTTTCTCTCCTCTGTCTTTCTACTCTCGCTCTCCTCTGTCTTTCAACTCTCTCATCTGTCTTTCCATCCTCCACTCTTAGGACACATGAGGGGAGAACAGTGGTTATAGTCAGTCAGACCTTCTCCCTTTCCTCCCTTTCCACCTCCTACTTTCCTCTTCCTCTGTATGTTCCTGTTGTTTCTTGACCTCTATTCCCTTCACAACCCCACGGTGCGTGTTAGTCCCCTCAACTCAATTAAATTCAATTCTCTCTCTTTATCTCTCTACCCTCTACCTCCTCTCTCTGTAACCATTACCTCTCCCCCAACACCCCAGTGACCCAACCTGTTCTGTTCCTCCTCAGTCTCCCTTGTTTATTAACCTGAGACAGAGAGTCAAAACAGAACCATATTCTCTCTTCTTTACATCTCTCTCCCTCACTTTCTCTTTGTCTCTCTCTTTATCTCCCCCCTTCTCCCAGTTCATCTAAGGAAATGTAATGTGACTTTCTATATGTTGATGTGAACATTGTTCAGCAGCTGTTGTCTATCAGTGACGTCAGGGTCAGAGATGCAATAATTTTGGGGGGATATATAGGCGGGAATGCCTAGTGATGTCAGTGCATTCCCAGCTAGTACATTTGGTTCCTTGGAAGTTGTGGGAACGTACATTTTTGGCTTCCCACAGGTTCTGGGAACGAAGCCATAAGTTTCCTGACCAGTAAAACTGAACGTTTTTTTAACTTTCTGAGAATGGAAGTGATAATTTTGCCTGTTCTGGGAACGTACATTTTTAGGTTGCAGGGAGGTTCTGAGAACATTTTACTATGGTTCCCTGAAAGTTTTTCTGCGAGGTTTTATTAACGTTCTGAGAATGGAAATTATAAGTTATTTGAAGATAATTAAATAATGTTCTGAGAACATTTTCTAAATCTTGTGAAGGTTTTGAACGAAATTGTGTAATGTTAGAGTTTTTTTTAACAACTTCCTTAAACTTTCCCTGAATGTTTCAACAAGACTTTCAATAACACTGCTTTCTTAGTTTGGGTTAACTGTTTTGAACTCCAAGCACAGATAGGACACATGGAAATTCATTTGCTTAGGCATTAACCATGCAAACACATAAATTTTTTATTATGGCATGGTCGTCAGTGAGATTCTAACCTATGATCTTCTGTTCTCTATATTCTGTTCTGCACCATCAGGATGGAGCTAGCGTGCCATGTTTTTTAAAACTCAAACAAAGCTGTTCATTTTAGTCTATTCAAACAGACCTGTAAGGGTTGGTGTGAGGTGTGACCCAGGTGCGGTGCAGGATAGACAGTAGGCAGTAGGCAGAGATGGTGAAACAAGGATCTTTACTGGTGGTCCCAAAACCAGGATACAAAATAACGGACTTGTCATGATAAAATAAAGGAGGAGAAAATTGGTCTCCAAAAACAGGCTGACAGCAAACATACGAAATACTATCTACGACTGAAAACAACAATGAAACACAGAGAACACTTCTCAAGTACCTGTACATACGTCTTGCGATCAGACACTGATTAGTACTGTTTGGCATAGAGAAACTAGCAAAGAAAACAGAGCAAGGGAACACAGGGAAGTGAGGGCATAAATACACAGGTGAACAGGTAGACACAGGTGACACCAATAGGGTAATAATTAGTCCAGACTGTGAGTGTGGAGCTGCCTAAGGTTGTCGGAGGATGACACCTAGTGGGTCGCTCCGGAACTGCAACCCCCTCCTGAAACAAGCACTCAATTAAGATCGGGTGTGGCCAATTAATGGGTCCGTCCAACACACCTGAATACACTTAACAATATAGAGGATATAGAGAGTTTTGTTGAGGCTGAGAAAGGAATGCATATATTAATGTTTTCTTGTGTTTTTTATGGAACTTTTTCTTAATGTTCTGAGAACATTACTTTAAATAGAACAATGAGAACCTGCAGAAAATGTTATGCTAAAGTACTGAAATTCCCACAGAAGAACGTTGTTTCTTAACATTCTCTGAATGTTCTGAGAACATGACTTTAAATAGAACCATGAGGAAACCTGTAGAAAATGTTATGCTAAATTATTGAAATTCCCACAGAAGAATGTAGTTTCTTAACGTTTTCGGAACATTTTGACAATATTCCCAATGTACAAACAGTTGGAGAACGTTCCTAGAACATTACCAAAAATGTAATTTGATGTAACCATGTTTGAACTTTTAGGAAACGTTCTGTTAAAGTAATGAAATACTAAGAAAATAGCGTTATTTTGTCAAGTTCCTTAAATGTGCTGAGAATGTTCCAAAGCCAAGCAATATCCTGCACCATTCCCAGAAAGTTGTAGAAAGGTTGTACGCAAAATAGGACAATCAAGCTCTCACCAAGCTCTAAGAAACATGGTCCTCAGAACAATATGTGCTAGCTGTGTTTTCTCTCTTTGTCATCAGCTTATAAGGCAGAATCAAGTTTCATGATGGAAAAATCTGTATTAATAGTTTTAATAGCTCACGATTGAAAGCAATTCAAGCCAATTCAACTGAATTCGGTGGCTGGTGATATTTTTATACTGTACTTATCCAGGCCACTGACTGTTCCTCGAACTTGCTCACTAATTTTGTCACTCACACACATAAACTTTTCCTTTCTTTCGCTCCTCTCCTCTCTTCCTCATCCTCTCTTCCATCTTTTCACTAGGCTCAATAATCAGTGTATTAATCTGTTTATAAACACAAAGTGAGAAAGACTGAATATGTTATGGAAATGTTTGGGAAAACGTGCTCGGAAACACACTCAGAGCCCTCAGAGAGAATTTAGCATCTCTCTGACTCCTAAACTACTGCAGCACATAAACTCTTACTAATTACCCAATCGGTGTGTGTGTGTGTGTGTGTGTGTGTTTGTGTGTGTGTTTGTGTGTGTGTGTGTGTGTGTGTGTGTGTGTGTGTGTGTGTGAAGTCATCACTGCCGGTAAGTGTAAAAATAAACCTGATACAGAGTAACTAAAAAGGAAATGATGGTGGTGAAGTGTGGTTGAGCTGGCGCTCCCTCGCTGGTCTCGTCAGTGTGAAAGCCTCTGCTGTGAGTTAGATGGAACCAAGGGAGTTCCTCTGGGTCAGCTGCTCTTGATGGAATGTCAAGATGAAGCAATAGTCAGTGTGTTGTATTCACTTATTCACCACAGACTTTCCTAACGCACACCAACTGTTTATGATCAGGGCCTGGAGTTTTTCCTTTTCTTGACCGTCTGATCCTGACCAGGCAGAATTCCTGGCCCTACATTGTATCTATGATAGATGACATTTAGAGAACCCACTGGGCATAGACGTCAGTTCAACGTCTAGTTTTGATTTACATTTGGTTGAGTTGGCAACTAACATGAATTCAATGTGAAATCAACAAAAAGGTTAAAAGTTGGGTGAAAAAAATATGAAATTCCTTTAAATTGATGACTCATTTCAAATCCAATCAGTTTTCCACGATGATTCAATGTCATCACATATATTTTTTGGATTGAAATGACATGGAAACAATGTTGATTCAACCAGGTCACAAAAACAAACAGTCCTGCTTTATTTGGGTGTACCAGATTAAGGATCATTATCAGATTAAATTACTCAGGGTCATGTGAACCAGAATGATGATGTTCACTGTATAAAACACAGTATAATCCCTCGCTTTCCAGTTTCTGTACCCATTCGTGCCTATAAGCAAAGTTAATACTGATCGGATGGGAGAGGATAGGAAAGGGTTAAATTGTTCTATAACAGATTTATAGTTTGGTGAAGAGAGCAGTGTGGACTGAGAGGTATTTGCCTTGGCAGCTTTCCAACAGGAAGTTTAGAGCAGCTAGCCATCGGAGCCATTGCAGCCCAAAGGTCCACAGTTTACTGCAGTGGGGATGACCTCATCTAAAGGCCAACACACTATCACAGCTTATTGTGAAATAGACACAAATTACTTATTTGAAATTCATAACAGGCAGGTGTATTACACTATTTTCATCACAACGTATTTTGTGTGTATTACACAATTTTCTTTCTTCATAACGCATTCGTGTACATTACACAAATTCCAATGTGTTGTGGCTAACGTTAGCTAGGTGGCTAACATTAGCTAGGCTAGCTAGGTGGCTAACATTAGCTAGGCTAGGGGTTAAGATTAAGGTTTTAAGGTTAGGTTTAGGGGTTAAGGTTAGGGTTAGGTAACATGCTAGCTAAGTAGTTAAAGGGTTAATGTTAAGGTTAGGGTCAGGAGTTAGGTTAAATGGTTAAGGTTAGGGTTAGGGTTAGCTAACCTGCTAAGTAGTTGCAAAGTAGCTAAAAAGTAGTAAGTAGTTGCAAAGTTGCTAATTGGCTAAAATCCTCCATGATAAGATTCGAACACACAACCTTCGAGTTGCTAGACATTCGTGTTGTGCGCCGCCTACCCATCCTCCCCGACTAACCTCCCTCCTATCGTTTCTGTCTTAAGTAACCTACTGTCTTTATCTGTGATTGAAATTCACAAAATGTGCAGTTTTACAGCTAATCTCCTGCTATTTTGCCATGAAGCTGAGAGAAAATGTTGCGGTTTTAGAGCTCAGGGATTCTTAAAAGACGGGACAATCTCAAATATTTGTCGTAATAGTAACAACATTTGAAATATATATTTTGATAGACCAAAGTATTAGCTATCAAACCAACCTCCTAATTTATAATAAAATGCAACTAACTGGATTGATGCCAACTCCGTCACACCATAAAAGGCATTTAATTTGTACAATTATTATTTAAATCACAGACGGCTGTTGCAAGAAACTACATACAATCACAGATTTGTCCTGTTTAAAAAATATATATAAATGTTTTTATTTTTTGTAATACTACTAGCCCCCTAGCAATTTTATGAAGTTGGCTTTAGCTAGCCCAGATAGGTTCCCAATCTGCCAACCTCATAACTAGCTACCAAGAAGCCATTTAAGGCTATCAATCAAGTTTGTGTAGCTAGCTTGTATAACTATCTTAGCTGGCATGCCTGCTGGCAAGGTTGGTAGACTTTAGAAAAGCAAGCAATTACTAAATGTATTGAATAAGACTCACACTTTAACCAGATTTTAGCAAAATAAATACCTGTCAGGAGGATACAGACAGCTCAAGAGGTATGCTTAGATGTGCAGAAAAATAAACATATTTTTTACATAGAATTAAGCATAATGATTATGGCTTTAGATTGCAGGAAAAAGCCCCCCTCCGGACGACCCCACAGACATCCTCACATACTTTGTGCCCCCTCAGATTCTTTAGGTGCATGATACACCTGCAATTTGTGTGTATTTGGCGCGCTACAGTTAGTCCCTAAAGCTAATGCTTAGGCTACCCACTAACGCCAGATAAAAATAATGAAAGAAAAACCTGTAGCCTATAGACATGAATTGCACAAGAATTATACATTTATGTTTTTTAATGCATTGTTTTCTCTTTATTCAACACGCCCGCCACCCAACCGCCCTTCAGCCACACAATATTTCATGACCCTAAGCCCGCCCGCCCGCCCGCACGGGTTATAAGTCATTGGTCTCTGACCCTGTTATCATACCCCACATATTTCCCAAGAGTTTTGGTTTGACTTTGGAGCCAATTCAACTCTACCCAGCATGGCTGATCTAAATAGCCCTTTGAAAAGGGACATTTGTCACATATTTCCATAGCTACTGTCTGTAGTAGGTAAACTTTAGGCCTACATCTCTCCACTTGTGAGGATCCATGTGGTGTCATTCTGTCGTGTAAGTAGGTGTACTGTTGCACCTATCTCAATAGATAAGGGTTGTGCATGGCCTGGCTGTAAGTGACCATAGCCATGTGTAGCTGTCTGCTGAGTAACACAGGGCTCTATATGGGTAGTAGTCCTGTCCTGCGCCATCTTTCTCTTTAGACTGGGAAGACCCCACTTTACCATGGCTGTCTGAGAGCAGGGCTCTACCTTAAGTAGGTCACAAAAGTGGATCCCATCTGTCTGTGTGTGTGTGTGTGTGTGTGTGTATGTTGTGTACGTGCGTGCGTGCGTGTGTGACTGACCAGTTTCCAGCAGGAACAGATAAGCCCTGTTGATATGCCCTGTTTCTGCAGTCATGAGCCAGATCACTCCTGTCCACAGCAGCCTGGTCCATGGAGCTTTGCCATTTGTGAAATTCTAATTCTCAAGACTAGGATTCAGGATTCAGGGGACGTGAGAATGTAGGATCATTCAATGCTTCAATGTAAATCATGATTGGAGATGATAACAAGTTCCTTCCCGAAAGATTGACAGTACCACAGTAGCCAACATGTTATTATTGTCTTTTATCAGTTGATTTGTCCCTGTCTGTCTATCATGATGGTGAGGTCAAGTTTTAATCCTGTAGAGATTGAACCGTCTGGCTGCTGATGTGCTGCAGGTCCTGATGTAAGCAGTCACACACAGTCACTCATGACAGATACAGGCACTGGGCCAATGGGATTAGAAAAACACAGGCTACGTCCCAAATGGCACCTTGTTCCCTATAAAGTAGTGCACCATGTAGGGAGTAGGGTGCCATTTGGGACTCACCCACAGCACACAAACCCACAAGACCTCGCCCCGCCCCATGAGCTGAGCTGTCGCTCAATCAATGGGAAATCAAACCCACCACAACTGGAGAGCAGTGGTGTGAGAGAGACATTCTCAGCAGACTGGGTACAGGAAGATCATGGCAGTCAGCCAGAGAGAGCTTTTGATTGTTGCACAAAAGACATACGCCTACTGGTCCATACGGTGTGTGTGTGCTCGGGAACGCATGTGTGTGTGCGAATGTGTGTAAATGCGTGCATGCGCGTGACTAATGTAAATGGAACACTCTTTTTCATCCCCCAGTTATCCCTCTGCAGACCTACTATTTCTAAACATATGTGATTTGATCTATGTTAAGGCCTCTGCATACCTTTACATCACACAGAAACTCTATATATAGAAGTGAGGGGAAAGTGGAATAGTTTTTCTATCTACTGTCTGCCTACATATGGATAACATCGAATAGAAACTATTCACACACAGTGGAGCTCTGAGTATAGCCTATAGGTGATAATGCATGTTTATGAATTTATCATCAGTTGATGATATATTCTTTAGGACATCACACATATACATTTAACGAGCAATCTTTTGATGCATTGCACTAGAGTTGGCAGTGGTACTCTTCATATAAATATATAGATGAACGTGTTAGATAGGTGTGTCAAGATGTATTTAAGACTCCTCTGTGTACACCTGGAGTAGGGAATACTAAAACATTCTGACACACACACACACACACACACACACAAATGCTGATTATGCAACGTAAGCATCTCAAACAAACACCATGATCCCGGTCACTCGCTTCACCTAGGCTTCAGAAGTCACTACCAGCTCTAAGCGCCGCTAAAAGTCACCGCATCTGAAAAAGGCGTGTGTGTGTGTGCTCATCATACTGTGTGTCATGGAGTCAGGTGTTGGAGTCTCTCTCTGTCCTGGGGTTCCTTGTGGCTCTGTGACTCAAAGAGAGACTGGACAGGTTTCAGTGGTATCAGATGGTTCCATCCACTGGCACTTCCCCACTCCTGTCACATCTTTCCCTCTCACTCTCCTCTCTCCACTGAGCCTTTCTGACATGCAGTGCTTTCGGAAAGTATTCAGACCCCTTGACTTTTTCCACATTTTGTTATGTTACAGCCTTATTCTAAAATGGATTCAATAGTTTTCTCCCCTCATCAATCTACACACAATACCTCATAATGACAAAGCAAAAACAGGTTTTTAAAAATGTTTGCAAATTTATAGAAAATGGAAAACTGAAATATCACATTTATATAAGTATTCAGACCCTTTACTCAGTACTTGGTTGAAGCACCTTTGGCAGTGATTACAACCTTGAGTCTTCTTGGGTATGACGCTACAAGCTTGGCACATCTGTTTTTGGGGAGTTTCTCCCATTCTTCTCTGCAGATCCTCTCAAGCTCTGTCAGATGGATGGTGAGTGTCGCAGCACAGCTATTTTCAGGTCTCTCCAGAGATGTTCAATCAGGTTCAAGTCCAGGCTCTGGCTGGACCCCTCAAGGACATTCAGAGACTTGTCCCGAAGCCACTACTGTGTTGTCTTGGCTGTGTGTTTAGGGTCATTGTCCTGTTGGAAGGTGAATCTTTGCCCCAGTCTGAGGTCCTGAGCACTCTGGAGCAGGTTTTCATCAAGGATCTCTCTGTACATTGCTCTGTTAATCTTTCCCTCGATCCTGACTAGTCTCCTGCTGCTGAAAAACATCCCCACAACATCATGCTGCCATCACCATGCTTCACTGTAGGGATGGTGCCAGGTTTCCTCCAGAGACCAAAGAGTTCCATCTTGGTTTCATCAGACCAGAGAATCTTGTTCCTCATGGTCTGAGAGTCCTTTAAGTGCCTTTTGGGAAACTCCAAGCGGGCTGTCATGTGCCTTTTACTGAGGAGTGGCTTCCGTCTGGCCACGCTACCATAAAGGCCTGATTGGTGGAGTGCTGCAGAGATGGTTGTCCTTCTGGAAGGTTCTCCCATCTCCACAGAGGAACTCTGGAGCTCTGTCAGAGTGACTATCAGGTTCTTGGTCACCTCCCTGACCCGATTGCTCAGTTTGGCCGGGCGGCCAGCTCTAGGAAGAGTCTTGGTGGTTTCAAACTTCCTTCCTTAAAGAATGATTGGAGGCCACTGTGTTCTTGGCGACCTTCAATGCTGCAGAGATTTTTTGGTACCCTTCCCCAGATCTGTGCCACGACACAATCCTGTCTCAGAGCTCTATGGACAATTCCTTTGACCTCATGGCTTGGTTTTTGCTCTGACATGCACTGTCAACAGTGGGACCTTATATAGACAGGTGTGTGCCTTTCCAAATAATGTCCAATCAATTGAATTTACCACAGTTGGACTCCAATCAAGTTGTAGAAACATCTCAAGGATGATCAATGGAAACAGGATGCACCTGAGCTCAATTTCGAGTCTCATAGCAAAGGGTCTGAATAATTGTCATTATGGGGTATTATTTGTAGATTGAAGAGGGAAGAAATTATTGAATCAAATTTAGAATAAGACTGTAACGTAACAAAATGTGGAAAAATAATACTTTCCGAATGCACTGTACATGGGCCACATTCTCACTTTCCCCCAATTTTACAAATGTTCCTACTCAGTGAAACTCTCTGTAAAATCACTAGTCTAGAATACTATTTGGTGACTCCAAGGTTGAGTGTGGGGCGAGGACAGATCAAACTGAATTAACAAAATGACCCCTTCCTCCCCTCTGTAACCACCCCCCCCCCCCCCATTATAGAAATGAGTTTGTGTTGTTCACAGCAGCACGGCAGCAAATTGCTAGATGACAAATTACTTTAATTACAATGGCCCATCTGAGTTCTGGGTCTAAAATTGATGGCTGTACTTTCCTGGGATTTAGAAGACTAAATAAACCCTTGCTCACTAGAATAATGTCATAAATCCATAGAATGAATGCTTCAATCTACAGTTGTGGTCAAAAGTTTGGAGAATGACACAAATACTAATCTTCACAAAGTCTGCTGCCTCAGTTTTGATGATGGCAATTTGCATATACTCCAGAATGTCATGAAGAGTGATCAGATGAATTGCAATTAATTGCAAAGTCCCTCTTTGCCATGAAAATGAACGTAATCCCCTCAGAAAATTTTCACTGCATTTCAGCCCTGCCACAAAAGGACCAGCTGCCATCATGTCAGTGATTCTCTCGTTAACACAGGTGAGAGTGTTGATGAGGACAAGGCTGGAGATCAATCTCAAATCAAATCAAATCAAATCAAATCAAATCAAATCAAATCTTATTGGTCACATGCGCCGAATACAACAGGTGCAGACATTACAGTGAAATGCTTACTTACAGCCCTTAACCAACAGTGCATTTATTTTAAACAAAAAAAGTAAGAATAAAACAACAACAAAAAAAGTGTTGAGAAAAAAAGAGCAGAAGTAAAATAAAGTGACAGTAGGGAGGCTATATATACAGTAAAATAAAGTGACAGTAGGGAGGCTATATATACAGGGGGGTACCGTTGCAGAGGCAATGTGCGGGGGCACCGGCTAGTTGAGGTAGTTGAGGTAATATGTACATGTGGGTAGAGTTAAAGTGACTATGCATAAATACTTAACAGAGTAGCAGCAGCGTAAAAAGGATGGGGTGGGGGGGCAGTGCAAATAGTCCGGGTAGCCATGATTAGCTGTTCAGGAGTCTTATGGCTTGGGGGTAGAAGCTGTTGAGAAGTCTTTTGGACCTAGACTTGGCACTCCGGTACCGCTTGCCGTGCGGTAGCAGAGAGAACAGTCTATGACTAGGGTGGCTGGAGTCTTTGACAATTTTGAGGGCCTTCCTCTGACACCGCCTGGTATAGAGGTCCTGGATGGCAGGAAGCTTTGCCCCAGTGATGTACTGGGCCGTACGCACTACCCTCTGTAGTGCCTTGCGGTCAGAGGCCAAGCAGTTGCCATACCAGGCGGTGATGCAACCAGTCAGGATGCTCTCGATGGTGCAGCTGTAGAATTTTTTGAGGATCTGAGGACCCATGCCAAATCTTTTTAGTCTCCTGAGGGGGAATAGGCTTTGTCGTGCCCTCTTCACGACTGTCTTGGTGTGTTTGGACCATGATAGTTCGTTGGTGATGTGGACACCAAGGAACTTGAAGCTCTCAACCTGTTCCACTACAGCCCCGTCGATGAGAATGGGGGCGTGCTCAGTCCTCTTTTTTTTCCTGTAGTCCACAATCATCTCCTTTGTCTTGGTCACGTTGAGGGAGAGGTTGTTGTCCTGGCACCACACGGCCAGATCTCTGACCTCCTCCCTATAGGCTGTCTCATCGTTGTCGGTGATCAGGCCTACCACTGTTGTGTCATCGGCAAACTTAATGATGGTGTTGGAGTCGTGCCTGGCCATGCAGTCATGGGTGAACAGAGAGTACAGGAGGGGACTGAGCACGCACCCCTGAGGGGCCCCCGTGTTGAGGATCAGTGTGGCAGATGTGTTGTTACCTACCCTTACCACCTGGGGGCGGCCCGTCAGGAAGTCCAGGATCCAGTTGCAGAGGGAGGTGTTTAGTCCCAGGATCCTTAGCTTAGTGATGAGCTTAGAGGGCACTATGGTGTTGAATGCTGAGCTGTAGTCAATGAATAGCATTCTCACGTAGGTGTTCCTCTTGTCCAGGTGGGAAAGGGCAGTGTGGAGTGCGATAGAGATTGCATCATCTGTGGATCTGTTGGGGCGGTATGCAAATTGGAGTGGGTCTAGGGTTTCTGGGATTATGCTGTTGATGTGAGCCATGACCAGTCTTTCAAAGCACTTCATGGCTACAGACGTCAGTGCTACGGGTCGGTAGTCATTTAGGCAGGTTATCTTAGAGTTCTTGGGCACGGGGACTATGGTGGTCTGCTTGAAACATGTTGGTATTACAGACTCAGTCAGGGACATGTTGAAAATGTCAGTGAAGACACTTGCCAGTTGGTCAGCACATGCTCGGAGTACACGTCCTGGTAATCCGTCTGGCCCTGCGGCCTTGTGAATGTTGACCTGCTTAAAAGTCTTACTCACATCGGCTACGGAGAGCGTGATCACATAGTCATCCGGAACAGCTGGTGCTCTCATGCATGCTTCAGTGTTGCTTGCCTCGAAGCGAGCATAGTAGTGGTTTAGCTCGTCTGGTAGGCTTGTGTCACTGGGCAGCTCGCGGCTGTGCTTCCCTTTGTAGTCTGTAATAGTTTTCAAGCCCTGCCACATCCGACGAGCGTCAGAGCCAGTGTAGTATGATTCAATCTTAGACCTGTATTGACTCTTTGCCTGTTTGATGGTTCGTCGGAGGTCATAGCGGGATTTCTTATAAGCGTCCGGGTTAGAGTCCCGTTCCTTGAAAGCGGCAGCTCTACCCTTTAGCTCAGTGCGGATGTTTCCTGTAATCCATGGCTTCTGGTTGGGGTATGTACGTACGGTCACTGTGGGGACGACATCATCGATGCACTTATTGATGAAGCCAGTGACTGATGTGGTGTACTCCTCAATGCTGTCTGAAGAATCCCGGAACATGTTCCAGTCTGTGCTAGCAAAACAGTCCTGTAGCTTAGCATCTGCGTCATCTGACCACTTTTTTATTAACCGAATCACTGGTGCTTCCTGCTTCAGTTTTTGCTTATAAGCAGGAATCAGGAGGATAGAGTTATGGTCAGATTTGCCAAATGGAGGGCGAGGGAGAGCTTTGTATGCGTCTCTGTGTTTGGAGTAAAGGTGGTCTAGAGTTTTTTTCCCTCTGGTTGCACATTTAACATGCTGGTAGAAATTAGGTAGAACGGATTTAAGTTTCCCTGCATTAAAGTCCCCGGCCACTAGGAGCGCTGCATCTGGATGAGCGTTTTCCTGTTGATTAATGGCCTTGTACAACTCATTCAGAGCAATCTTAATGCCAGCATTGGTTTGTGGTGGTAAATAGACAGCTATGAAAAATATAGATGAAAACTCTCTTGGTAAATAGTGTGGTCTACAGCTTATCATAAGATACTCTACCTCAGGCGAGCAAAACCTCGAGACTTCCTTAGTATTTGATTTTGTGCACCAGCTGTTGTTTACAAATATACACAGACCGCCGCCCCTTGTCTTACCAGAGTCAGACGTTCTGTCCTGCCGATGTAGCGTATAGCCTGCTAGCTGAATGTTATCATTGTTGTCGTTCAGCCACGACTCCGTGAAACATAAGATATTACAGTTTTTAATGTCCCGTTGGTAGGATAACCGTAATCTTAACTCGTCCATTTTATTCTCAAAAGATTGAACGTTGGCTAGTAGGATTGATGGGAGAGGCAGTTTACTCGCTCGCCGTCGGATCCTTACAATGCACCCGGATCTGCGTCCGCGATATCTCCGTCTCTTCCTCACGCGAATGACGGGGATCTGGGCCTTGTCGGGTGTCTGTAGGATATCCTTCGCGACCGCCTCGTTGAAGAAAAAATCTTCGTCCAATGCGAGGTGAGTAATCGCTGTCCTGATATCCAGAAGCTCTTTTTGGTTATAAGAGACGATGGCAGAAACATTATGTACAAAATAAATTACAAATAACGCGGAAAAACACACATAATAGTACAATTGGTTAGAGGGCTGTAAAACGGCAGCCATCTTCCCGGCGCTGTTCTTCTGTCGGTCTGTCATGCTGATTGAGTTAGAATAACAGACTGGAAGCTTTAAAAGGAGGGTGGTGCTTGAAATCATTGTTCTTCCTCTGTTAACCATGGTTACCTGCAAGGAAACACGTGCCGTCATCATTGCTTTGCACAAAAAGGCTTCACAGGCAAGGATATTGCTGCTAGTAAGATTGCACCTAAATCAACCATTTTTCGGATCATCGAGAACCTCAAGGAGAGAGGTTCAACTGTTGTGAAGAAGGCATCAGGGCGCCCAAGAAAGTCCAGCAAGCGCCAGGACCGTCTCCTAAAGTTGATTCAGCTGCGGGATCGGGCACCACCAGTGCAGAGCTTGCTCAGGAATGGCAGCAGGCAGGTGTGAGTGCATCTGCACGCACAGTGAGGTGAACACTTTTGGAGGATGGCCTGGTGTCAAGAAGGGCAGCAAAGAAGCCACTTCTCTCCAGGAAAAACATCAGGGACAGACTGATATTCTGCAAAAGGTGCAGGGATTGGACTGCTGAGGACTGGGGTAAAGTCATTTTCTCTGATGAATCCCCTTTCTGATTGTTTGGGACATCCGGAAAACACCTTGTCCGGAGAAGACAAGGTGAGCGCTACCATCAGTCCTGTGTCATGCCAACAGTAAAGCATCCTGAGACCATTCATGTGTGGGGTTGCTTCTCAGCCAAGGGAGTGGGCTCACTCACAATTTTGCCTAAGAACACAGCCATGAATAAAGAATGGTACCAACACATCCTCCGAGGGCAACTTCTCCCAACCATACAAGGATAGTTTGGTGATGACCAATGCCTTTTCCAGCATGATGGAGCACCTTGCCATAAGGCAAAAGTGATAACTAAGTGGCTCGGGAACAAAACATCGAAATTTTGGGTCCATGGCCAGGAAACTCCCCAGACCTTAATCCCATTGAGAACTTGCGGTCGATCCTCAAGAGGCAGGTGGACAAACAAAAACCCACAAATTCTGACAAACTGCAAGCATTGATTATGCAAGAATGGGCTGCCATCAGTCAGGATGTGGCCCAGAAGTTAATTGACAGCATGCCAGGGTGGATTGCAGAGGTCTTGAAAAAGAAGGGTCAACACTGCAAATATTGACTCTTTGCATAAACTTTATGTAATTGTCAATAAAAGCCTTTTACACTTATGGAATGGTTGTAATTATACTTCAGTATACCATAGTAACATCTGACAAAAATATCTCATAACACTGAAGCAGCGAACTTTGTGAAGACCAATACTTGTGTCATTCTCAACTTTTGACCACGACTGTAGTTGACATCGGTAAACTTTTCTCTGTCATCTCTGCTTCTTTCGCATAGTAAAAACATCTGCTTTATAATAAAGTATTAGCAGGCTAACAATAAAATACAATTCCTAATGTGACGATTAGCCTAAGCATAGGACAAGATTCGGTAACAGTAGTCACTGTAGCCAAAATTATATACAGTGAGCTCCAAACGTATTGGGACAGTGACACATTTTTGTTGTTGTTTTGGTTCTGCATTCCAGCACTTTGGATTTAAAATGATACAATGAGGTTAAAGTGCAGTGTAGTTTAATACACACACAACACACACACACGTCGGGAAATTGATAGGTCTGCCAAGCTATCAATCAATCAAATGTATTTATAAAGCCCTTTTACATTAGCAGATTATACAGAAACCCAGCCTAAAACCCCAAAGAGCAAGCAATGTAGATGTAGAAGCATGGATGCTAGGAAAAACTCCCTTGAAAGGCAGGAACCTAGGAAGAAACCTAGAGAGGAACCAGGCTCTGAGGGGTGGCCAGTCCTCTTCTGGCTGTGCCGGGTGGAGATTAAATGAGTTCATGGCCATTAAGGCCAGATCATTCTTCAAGATGTTCAAAAGTTATTAGATGACCCGCAGGGTCAAAATGAGCGCTGCAAGATAAAAACAAACGAGACCACCTCACTAACTCGCTATGTGGACACAGTAAGGAGGGAGGGAGGGAGGGAGGGGGGATGTAGGAGGTAGTTGGAGGTCTTGAGTCGGGTATAGAGAGAGAGAGATGGAGAGGTAGAGATCGATATCTATTCTAGAGCTCTCTCTCTTGAGCGCTCTCCTCCTCTCTCTCTTCTCTCTCAGCTCTCTCTCTCTATCTCTTTCCTCTCTCTCTATCTGCTCTCTCTCGCTCTCTGGCGAGCTCTCCTACTCTCTCTCTCATATCGCTCTCGTCTCTCTACTCTCTCTTCTCTCTTCTCTCCCTCCTTAGAAGAGAGAGAGAGCCAACAACCAACAAAAATGGGTCACAACTCCTGCAGCTCTGTCGCACACTGGGTATGTACATAGTCAATGGTAGGCTTCAAGGGGACTCCTATGGTAGGTACACCTATTGGCAGTAGACTACTTTATCACTGACCTCAACCCAGATTCTCTCCGAGCGTTCACAGTCAGCCCACTGACACCCCTATCAGACCACAGCAAAATCACAGTCTACTTGAACAGAGCAATACTCAATCATGAGGCATCAAACCAAAGGAACTGAATAATATTAAGAAATACTATAGATGGAAGGAAAGTAGTGTCGAAACCTACTAAAAAACTATTAGGCAACAAGAAATTCAATCCCTTTTAGACAACTTCCTGGACAAAACGTTCCACTGTAATAGTGAAGGTGTAAACTTGGCAGTAGAAAACCTAAACAGTATATTTGACCTCTCAGCTTCCCTATCAAATCTAAAAATCTCGAATAGAAAACCGAAGAAAAGTAACAACAGTGACAAATGGTTTGCAAAAACCTAAGAAAGAAATTGAGAAACCTATCCAACCAAAAACATAGAGACCCAGAAAACCTGAGCCTACGCCTCCACTATGGTGAATCACTAAAACAATACAGAAATACACTACGGAAAAAGAAGGAACAGCATGTCAGAAATCAGCTCAATGTAATTGAAGAATCCATAGACTCTAACCACTTCTGGGAAAATTGGAACACACCAAACAAACAACAACACGAAGAGCTATCTATCCAAAATGGCAATGTATGGGTAAATCACTTCTCCAATCTTTTTGGACCTATAACAAAGAACAAACAGCAAAGAAATATACATGATCAAATGCAAATCTTAGAATCAACTATTAAAGACTACCAGAACCCACTGGATTCTCCAATTACATTTAATTAACTACAGGAGAAAATACAAACCCTCCCAACCCAAAAAGGCCTGTGGTGTTGATGGTGTCCTCAATGAAATGATAAAATATACAGACAACAAATTCCAATTGGCTATACTTAAACTCTTTAACATCATCCTTAGCTCTGGCATCTTTCCCAATATTTGGAACCAAGGACTGATCACCCCAATCCACAAAGGTGGAGACAAATTTGACCCCAATAACTACAGTGGGATATGCGTCAACAGCAACCTTGGGAAAATCCTCTGCATTATCATTAACAGCAGACTAGTTCATTTCCTCAGTGAAAACAATGTACTGAGCAAATGTCAAATTGTTTTTTTTAACCAAATTACCGTACGACGGACCACGTATTCACCCTGCACACCCTAATTGACAAACAAACAAACAAAGGCAAAGTCTTCTCATGCTTTGTTGATTTCAAAAAAGCTTTTGACTCAATTTGACATGAGGGTCTGCTATACAAATTGATGGAAAGTGGGGTTGGGAGAAAGACATACGACATTATAAAATCCATGTACACAAACAACAAGTGTGCAGTTAAAATTGGCAAAAAACACACACATTTCTTTCCACAGGGCCGTGGGGTGAGACAGGGATGCAGTTTAAGCCCCACCCTCTTCAACATATATATCAACGAATTGGCGAGGGCACTAGAACAGTCTACAGCACCCAGCTTCACCCTACTAGAATCTGAAGTCAAATGACTACTGTTTGCTGGTGCTTCTGTCACCAACCAAGGAGGGCCTACAGCAGCACCTAGCTCTTCTGCAAAGATTCTGTCAGACCTGGGCCCTGACAGTAAATCTCAGTAAGACAAAAATAATGGTGATCCAAAAAAGGTCCAGTTGCCAGGACCACAAATACAAATTCCATCTAGACACCATTGCCCTAGAGTACACAAAAAACTATACATACCTTGGCCTAAACATCAGCGCCACAGGTAACTTCCACAAAGCTGTGAACGATCTGAGAGACAAGGCAAGAAGGGCCTTCTATGCCATCAAACGGAACATAAAATTTGATATACCAATTAGGATCTGGCTAAAAATACTTGAATCAGTTATAAAACCCATTGCCCTTTATGGTTGTGAGGTCTGGGGTCCGCTCACCAACCAAGAATTCACAAAATAGGACAAACACCAAATTGAGACTCTGCATGCAGAATTCTGCAAAAATATCCTCAGTGTACAACGAAAAACACCAAATAATGCATGCTGTGCAGAATTAGGCCGATACCCGCTAATTATCAAAATCCAGAAAAGAGACGTTAAATTCTATAACCACCTAAAAGGAAGCGATTCCCAAACCTTCCATAACAAAGCCATCACCTACAGAGAGATGAACTTGGAGAAGAGTCCCCTAAGCCAGCTGTTCCTGGGGCTCTGTTCAAAAACACAAACAGACCTCACAGAGCCCCAGGACAACAACAACAACACAATTAGACCCAACCAAATCATGAGAAAACAAAGAGAATTACTTGACACATTGGAAAGAATTAACAACAACAAAAAATACAGAACAAACTAGAAATCTATTTGGCTCTAAACAGAGAGTACACAGTGGCAGAATACCTGATCACTGTGACTGACCCAAACTTAAGGAAAGCTTTGACTATGTACAGACTCAGTGAGCATAGCCTTGCTATTGAGAAAGGCCGCCGTAGGCAGACCTGGCTCTCAAGAGAAGACAGGCTATGTGGACACTGCCCACAAAATGAGGTGGAAACTGAGCTGCACTTCCTAACCTCCTGCCAAATATATGACCATCTTAGAGACACATATTTCCCTCAGATTACAGAGATCCACAAAGAATTCGAAAACAAACCCAATTTTGATGAACTCCCTTATCTACTGGGTGAAAAACCACAGTGTGCCATCACAGCAGCAAGATTTGTGACCTGTTGCCACAAGAAAAGGGCAACCAGTGAAGAACAAACACCATTGTAAATACAACCCATATTTATGTTTATTTATTTTTCCATTTGTACTTTAACTATTTGCACATTGTTACAACACTGCATACAGTTGAAGTCGGAAGTTTACATACACCTTAGCCAAATACATTTAAACTCAGTTTTTCACAATTCCTGACATTTAATCCTAGTAAAAATTCCCTGTCTTATGTCAGTTAGGCTTTTATTTCTTTCATCACATTCTCAGTGGGTCAGAAGTTTACATACACTCAATTCGTATTTGGTAGCATTGCCTTTAAATTGTTTAACTTGGGTCAAACGTTTCGGGTAGCCTTCCACAAGCTTCCCACAATAAATTGGGGGACTTTTGGCCCATTCCTCCTGACAGAGCTGGTGTAACCGAGTCAGGTTTGTAGGCCTCCTTGCTCGCACACGCTTTTTCAGTTCTGCCCACAAATGTTCTATAGGATTGAGGTCAGGGCTTTGAGATGGCCACTCCAATACCTTGACTTTGTTGTCCTTAAGCCATTTTGCCACAACTTTGGAAGTATGCTCGGGGTCATTGTCCATTTGGAAGACCCATTTGCGACCAAGTTTTAACTTCCTGACTGATGTCTTGAGATGTTGCTTCAATATATCCACATAATTTTCCTTCCTCATGATGCCATCTATTTTGTGAAGTGCACCAGTCCCTCCCGCAGCAAAGCACCCCCACAGCATGATGCTGCCACCCCCGTGCTTCACGGTTGGGATGGTGTTCTTCGGCTTGCAAGCATCCCCCTTTCCCTCCAAACATAACGATGGTCATTATGGCCAAACTGTTATTTTTTTGTTTCATCAGACCAGAGGACATTTCTCCAAAAAGTACGATCTTTGTCCCCATGTGCAGTTGCAAACCGTAGTCTGGCTTTTTTATGGCGGTTTTGGAGCAGTGGCTTCTTCCTTGCTGAGCGGCCTTTCAGGTTATGTCGATATAGGACTCGTTTTACTGTGGATATAGATACTTTTGTACCTGTTTCCTCCAGCAACTTCACAAGGTCCTTTTCTGTTGTTCTGGGATTGATTTGCACTTTTCGCACCAAAGTACGTTCATCTCTAGGAGACAGAAAGCGTCTCCTTCCTGAGTGGTATGACGGCCGCGTGGTCCTATGGTGTTTATAATTGCATACTATTGTTTGTACAGATGAACGTAGTATCTTCAGGCGTTTGGAAATTGCTCCCAAGGACGAACCAGACTTGTGGAGGTCTACAAATTTGGCTGATGTATTTTGATTTTCCCATGATGTCAAGCAAAGAGGCACTGAGTTTGAAGGTAGGCCTTGAAATACATCCACAGGTACACCTCCAATTAATAATAATAAATAATATGCCATTTAGCAGACGCTTTCATCCAAAGCGACTTACAGTCATGTGTGCATACATTTTTACGTATGGGTGGTCCCGGGGATCGAACCCACTACCCTGGCGTTACAAGCGCCATGCTCTACCAATTGAGCTACAGAGGACCATCAATTGACTCAAATGATGTCAATTAGCCTATCATTAGCTTCTAATGCCATGACATCATTTTTTGGAATTTTCCAAGCTGTTTAAAGGCACAGTCAACTTAGTGTATGTAAACTTCTGACCCACTGGAATTGTGATACAGTGAATTATAAGTGAAATAATCTGTCTGTAAACAAATGTTGGAAAAATTACTTGTGTCATGCACAAAATAGATGTCCTAACTGACTTGCCAAAACTATCGTTTGTTAACAAGAAATTTGTGGAGTGGTTAAAAAACGAGTTTTAATGACTAAGTGTATGTAAACTTCCGACTTCAACTGTATATACATAATATTGCATTTGAAATTTATTTATTATTTTGGAACTTCTGAGTGTAATGTTTACTGTTAATATTTATTGTTTATTTCACTTTTGTTTACTATCTACTTCACTTGCTTTGGCAATGTTAACATATGTTTCCCATACCAATAAAGCCCTTAAATTGAATTGAATTGAGAGAGAGAGGAGGGTGGAGGGGGGGAAGGAACGAGACAGAGGAAAGGAAAGACAGGGGGATGCAGGGGATAGTGTGGGAGAGAAATAAAAAATAGTAGGTGAGAGAAAGATTTATAACTGTAATTGTGCTGAGCGCTTCTTGTTTACCAAAGCCAGTTGACTGGTACAGACAGACAGCAGGTTACAGAGCCAGATCAGTGTGAGAGACAGACAGATACTGAGATGGATGGCTTTTTTACACACTGATATTGCACATTTAAGCATTATAGAGAACGATGGTTGGCCAGTTAGCCTCAGTACATGGAGAAGATAATATGGATATTTATCTAGTGGCCCACAGAGTGCATTTGGGCACAGTGTGTGTGTGTGTGTGTGTGTGTGTTATATCATGGTGTGTGTCGACAAGTCATTATGGGGCTTTCCGGATGGGAATCACAGGGTGGGGGTGAGGGGTCTCAAGGAGAGGACATCTGTTTTAATTAAAGGACTTCCTAAAGATACAGTGAGCACCATATGTATTGGGACAGTGACACATGTTTTGTTGTTTTGGCTCTGTACTCCTGCACTTTGGATTTGAAATTATACAATGACTATGAGGTTAAAGTGCTGTCAGCTTTAATTTATCATCTTCAATTTGAGGGTATTTTCCTCCATATCGGGTGAACCGTTTAGAAATTACAGCACTTTTTGTACATAGTCCCCCCATTTTAGGGGACCAAACGTATTGCAACAAATTCACTTATACAGTACCAGTCAAAAGTTTGTATAAACCTACTCATTCCAGGGTTTTTCTTTATTTTTACTATTTTCTACATTGTAGAATAATAGGGAAGACATCAAAACAATGAAATAACACATATGGAATCATGTAGTAAACAAAAAAGTGTTAAACAAATAAAAATATATTTTATATGTGAGATTCTTCAAATAGCCACCCTTTGCCTTGATGACAGCTTTGCACACGCTTGGCATTCTCTCAACCAGCTTCACCTGGAATGCTTTTCCAACAGTCTTGAAGGAGTTCCCACATATGCTAAGCACTTGTTAGCTGCTTTTCCTTCACTCCGCGGTCCGACTCATCCCAAACCATCTCAATTGGGTTGAGGTTGGGGGATTGTGGAGGCCAGGTCATCTGATGCAGCACTCCATCACTCTCCTGCTTGGTAAAATAACCCCCTTACACAGCCTGGAGGTGTGTTGGGTCATTGTCCTGTTGAAAAACATATGATAGTCCCACTAAGCCTAAACCCGATGGATGGTGTATCGCTGTAGAATGCTGTAGTAGCCATGCTGGTTAATTAAATCACAGACAGTGTCACCAGCAAAGCACCCCCACACCATAACACCTCCTCCTTCATGCATTACGGTGGGAAATGCACATGCGGAGATCATCCGTTCACCCACACCGTGTTGGCCTGATTCACACAGTCTCCTCTGAACAGTTGATGTTGAGATGTGTCTGTTACTTGAACTCTGTGAAGCATTTATTTGGGCTGCAATTTCTGAGGCTGGCAACTCTAATGAACTTATCCTCTGCAACAGAGTTAACTCTGGGTCTTCCATTCCTGTGGTGGTCCTCATGAGAGCCAGTTTCATCATAGCGCTTTCTGGTTTTTGTGACTGCACTTGAAGAAACTTTCAAAGTTCTTGAAATGTTCCGTATTGACTGACCTTCACGTCTTGAAGTAATGAAGGACTGTTGTTTCTCTTTGCTTATTTGAGCTGTTCTTGCCATAATATGGACTATTTTAGGCTTATCTTCTATATACCCCTCCTACCTTGTCACAACACAACTGATTGGCACAAACGCATTAAGAAGGAAAGACATTCCACAAATTAACTTTTAAGAAGGCACACCTGTTATTTGAAATGCATTCCAGGTTACTACGTCATGAAACTGGTTGAGAGAATACCAAGAGTGTGCAAAGCTGTCATCAAGGCAAAGGGTGGCTATTTGAAGAATCTCAAATATATAATATCTTTTTATTTGTTTACACTTTTTTGGTTACTACATGATTCCATATGTGTTATTTGATTCTTTTGATGTCTTCACTATTATTCTACAATGTAGATCCTGAGTGGCGCAGTGGTCTAAGGCACTGTATCGCAGTGCTAGCTGTGCCACTAGAGATCCTGGTTCGAATCCAGGCGCTGTCTCAGCCGGCCGCGACCGGGAGACTCATGGGCGGCGCACAATTGGCCCAGCGTCGTCCAGGGTAGGGGAGGGAATGGCCGGCAGGGATGTAGCTCAGTTGATAGAGCATGGCGTTTGCAACACCAGGGTTGTGGGTTTGCATCCCAAGGGGGGGCCAGTATGAATAATAATATGTATTCACTAACTGTAAGTCGCTCTGGATAAGAGCGTCTGCTAAAATGACTAAACATGTAAAAAAATGTAGAAAATAGTAAAAATTAAGAAAAACCCTGGAATTAATAGGTGTGTCCAAACTTTGACTGGTACTGTATGTGTAGTAAAACGTTAAGTATTTAGTCCCATATTCATAGCATGCTATGACTACATCAGGCTCGGGTCTCTACACATTTTTGGATGCTACCATGATTACGGATAATCCTGAATGAATCGTGAATAATGATGAGTAAGAAAGTTATAGACGCACAAATATCATACCCCCAAGACATGCTAACCTCTCACCATTACAATAACAGGGGAGGTTAGTATTTTTTGGGGGGGACTCCAAAATGACACAATACATTATTTACCATGAATTTCTATTGGGCACAAAATAATCTGAAACACAACCAAAATAAACAGCAAACGATTCCAACCAATTTGTAGAGTCACAAGCTTGATGTAGTTATTGCGTGCTATTAATATGGACCAAATGCTTAACTTTTTACTACTTTAATACACATATAAGTGAATTTGTCCCAATACCTGCTACGCTTGTGAGAAACAAGTTTTGGTTTATTTCATACCATCATTTACAAGTTTTATTTTCTCCAAATGTTTCATTGTATTTTGTTTGGAGTGCTTCATGTGAGAAATGAGCATGTGTCTGTTTTCTCTGTCCTCTTAATGTAGATGCAACGTGCATGCCTGAGCATGCACAGAAGTAGGCTAACTGGCCTTCTGTGCGCAAATGTAGGAAAGTACCCATTTGGGGATGTCTGATTTCTTATTGTCTTAACTCACCACCACTAATAAGCTGAGCTTCTCAGTCATTTTTTCTTCACCTCACACAGTAAGTCAACGAAGTCAATAAAAAATAATAATCCATTGTCCTCACAGTAGGCTAGGCTATTTGAAAAATCTTTCCAACACTTATCCCCTCGATAATCACCAGGCCAGCAAAATGCCATGCTCTGAGGATCCCATATATCCAGTGGAAACGTCATAAAATACCTGAACACATTTCCCTTTGGGCAAAAGCAGCTGTGTCTGTCATGAGCTCACTGGAATAGGCTAGTTGATACAATGTTGCAAGTTTGCTAGCAACAGCTTCGGGCCAGACCTTCATATATAGGTTAGAGACATTGGGCCAGACCCTCACTCAGTTGATTGATTTGATACAATGTTGCACTTCACTAGCGATAGCTCAAGTCAACGCAGATAGAAAGGGAGGCAGACAGGCAGAATAGAGAGATGAATGTGATTGAAAGAACCTGGATTTTCATCAGGATATTTTCTGTTTTTATTTGTTGGCTTTATGTATTTTTACTTAGTTGACAATGGAAGTTATAGGCCTACTGCTACATTGGCCTAGGGCTAGGCTATCTCTTAGTTCCATGCTCTTCTTTCTTTAGCCATTCAACCTCCGTTGCTCTCTGGAAGCAAACGGAGGAAGTGAGAAAGGGAATAGCTTGAAAGCCAGGGACCTGTAAGACATAGGGACCTGTAAGATATAGGCAAAAGCTGCATTAGGATGTAACATCACTTTGGAGTCACCAGGCGCAAACTCCAAACAGGAAAGGTGTACTGATAGCATGTGGAGATCCCCAAAGTGCTTGGCCGATGCCAAGGCCATGAGCAGAGCAGTATTGTAGGAAAGGACCTTCAGCTCTACAGACTCCAGTGGTTCAAACGGAGGCTTAGACAGAGCATCCAGGACCAAAGCCAGGTCCCAGGTCAGTGACATAGGCTTAGACACTGGTCTGAGCGAATGCACACCTTTCAGGAACTGCACCACCAGAGGATGAGACCCCGGGGTAGAGTCATCAATCCCTACATGACACGCCGAGATGGCTGCCATATAAACCTTTAATGTGAAAAAAGGACATCCCTGCTCAAAAAGCTCTTGCAAGAACATCAAAATGCCCACCAAAGAGCTCTGAAAAGGAGAAACTCCTTTAACCTGACACCAACCCTCAAACGTGCAACACTTATATGTATACAACCCTCTCGTAGAGGGCGCATGCACAGACTATATAGTCGTAATCACGTTTGAGGGTAAACCCCTAGCCGTCAAATTAAACTTTTCAGGGGCCAAACCCACAGATCCCATATCTGCGATCGTGGGTGCCAAACTCTCCTGTGCGCCTGGAACAATAGATCCCGACGACATGGACCCTCCACGGGTCCTCGCCCAACAGGCGGATGATCTCCGGGAACCAGGGTTGTCTGGGCTGACGGGGAGACACCAGATTCAACAACAGATGTTCCTGACGGACCCTCTCCATGGTGTCCTGAATCAGGCCCACCGGAGGAAACGCATAGAGCAGGGTCCGAGGCCACTCATATGTCAAAGCATCCGTTCCCAATGGAACGCCCAGTTCCCTCATTGAGAAGAACAGACAACAATGCACGTTTTCTCGCGATGAGTAAAGATCTATGTCGGCCCTGGCTAACCAGTCCAATATGCAGTCTCCACTCCGTAGAGATATGACCCCCCCCCCCCCCCCCCCCCCGAAAAGTAGATCCGCACACACGCAGAGAGATCCAGGAAGATACATCACCCTGAGCGACAGGAAATGCGCACTGCCCATTAAGAGCAGATAACTGACCAGGTTTAGGAAAGAGAAACCCCATCCCCACTGCCTGTTGATGTACACCACCACTGTCCTGTTGTCGGACCTTACAAGGAGTCAACACCCTTAGGCACGACGGGGATACCTTGAGCAACTGATGTCAATGGCGAGATGTGTCCAGACGCGTAGCAATCACCCAGCACTGAAACAGACGCTTCAACAGAAGTCCCAGATGCACCACAGCTATCATAAAGGCCATCAGACCCAATAACTGCAGCCACAAATAAAAAGGCACAGAGTACCCCAGCTGGAACTGTGCCAGACAGAGCTGGAATGAGGCCCTCTTCTGTTGACAAAAACGCATGATACAGAACCAAGTCCAGAACAAGACCCAGATACTGAATGCGCTGAGCCAGAGTCAAACAACTTTTCTTGCGATTCACTATGAACCCGAGAGACTGAATACGGGAAACAAGCGTGGCAGTGTGGAGCTCCACCTGTTCCCTCAACTCCGCTACTACCAGCCAATCGTCCAGATAAGCCAATACTCTGATCCCCTGGCACCGCACCGGTCCCAAATCCGCCTCCACCACCATAAAAAAGTAATGATTGGGAAACAAAGCTTCCTGAAGCATTGAAAATAGGTTCATTACTCCAGGCTTTGATCAGCACAGTGTACACTAGTGGCACATGCTGGTCAAAAGTATTTAGAGCAGCCAAATTATTATAGATGCTGTCCCACCAATACCAAACCAATAAGGTGGTTGTTCGAAATTATACAGGCATCGGCACACTGCTTCGAAGTACACTGCTTAGCGATTTAAACACATGCCTCGGAGCTCCAGCATCAAACGTAACTCTGGTCCTCCCGAAAGGCAGGACCAGAAACTTGTAGGCCACACCCTCGAAATGAAACCTCAATAACCTTCTGTGGGGAGGATGTATAACTAAATGAAAATGCGCATCCTTCAGATCTATGGATATTTTGTGTCTGAATATGGGGAAGGGACAGTGTTTCTTATGCCCACATCTGGACGATACCGTGCTCTCGATACCCCTGAACACCGATGAACCTTGGTTAGAAATAATGTGCATTCGTGGTACCGCCATTCCGATACCCTGCCCACACCGGGTTTGGGGACTTCAGCAACCACTGACCAAGCCACTTCGGAGCACTGTTGCCCTTTTTGGCGAAACTGGTTCATCCAAATACATCCGCCTGTCCCTCTCAGGAATCAACCAGAGGTGGGGTTGAGCCACCACCGTCGCCAACATACTTTTCCCCACAGCCAGGATAGTACAGCATAAAATCAGCACGGATTTCGTTGAGAAGCTCTAAAACTGGCTTCTCCATCTCCACGGTCTTATTCAGCTTCTGCAGCATAGTGACCACATTCAACGACCGGACCGCCACACCCTTAGCTTTGTACACTTTGTCCAGCTGATCCGTTGAGAACCGGCACTGTGTATTTGGAAGCACTGTGCTAGGATTAGCCCCTTCATAGCCTCTGGAGCTAAGTAACTCGCCAGCTTACAAATGAGCCCTGCCTCCTCCATAACCTCTACATTCATGAACTCGCCAAAACCTGATAGCACCAGCCTGGCTGAATGAGGGGAATCCCCGATCGCCTTTAGCTCATTGGCGAAATCTTTAAACAGGGGTGAGCAACGCTTTACTGCTGCAGGAAAAACCTTCCTCTAAAGCTGGAGGAACCTGCTGCAGGGGAGAAGACGGCCAATCCACCCCCAGGTGATCTGCCGCCCTATGACACAGCTTCATCAAAGGCGCATTAACCACAAATGGTTCACTCTTCCCAGCTGGGGCATCCGATTCACACTCTGAAAACCCTCCAGAGCCAACCAGGGATAGTATATCATCCCGGAACACTGAACACACCGGAATGAGCCTCACTCGGCTGTGATGACACCCCTATCAACTCCAATCACCTCTGCTGCTCTCCACCAGCCTCAGACAGCCCCATTCCTGAGGTCGCCTCACCGGGAGACCTTTCGCCAGCAGCCTCAATCTTCCTCACAAAGTCAGCCCGACGCCCAACGGATGTTGAATGCAGCCGGAGACAATGGTCACACGAACTGGTCTGAGCCAAGGCCTCCAAAGCGTGTTTCCACCCCAGGCAAACAGGGCAGCACTCGTGAGTATCTTTAATTTTCATTGTGAAAACACATGCCCAAGGGCACGGTCAGAGGTTCAAACTCATCTGGTTAGCCTTTTTGAACTTAGTCATACCACTGGCCATCTTACTCAAGCAAGGGAGCACTGGCTACACAAGCAGAGCAGAAAGTAGTTTTAAGCATACACAAAAACTGATACCAAGACCTAAAACTCACAACATCTTGGGAGACGTGTACTTTCTCCCCACTAACAGACGCCTAAGTCGTAGCCAAATCCCATAGCCTTCGAGTGCTTGAAAAGGTGTAAATTGAGTGACACATTCTTCCTTTAGGCGAGCTGAAGAGGGAAGAATTGAGGAAATGTATACGGCGCCCCGGTATTATAGCCAGGAATGTGGAGCTTCCGAGGGCAGGCTCGGCATCCATTAGCCCGTTGGGCGTGATTTAATTTTGCTTCAGGTGAATAGGATTGGTCGTTGACTCCCCATAGTATGTTATACTGAGTAACCAACTGAAAGGGAACTTTAGTAATGTTCAGAGAACGTTCTAAGAATGTTATTTACTGTGCATTCGGAAAGTATTCAGACCCCTTGACCTTTTCCACATTTCGTTACGTTACAGCCTTATTCTAAATTGATTAAATTGTTTTTTTCCCCCTCATCAATCTACACACAATACCCCATAATGAAAAAGCAAAAACAGGTTTTTAGAAAGTTTAGCAAATGTATTAAAAATTAAAAACTGAAATATTACATTTACATAACTATTCAGATCCTTTACTCAGTACTTTGTTGAAGCACCTTTGGCAGTGATTACAGCCTCGTGTCTTCTTGGGTATGATGCTACAAGCTTGGCACACCTGTATTTGGGAGGTTTCTCTGTCAGGTTGGATGGGGAGTGTCACTGCACAGCTATTTTCAGGTCCCTCCAGAGCTGTTTGATTTGGTTCAAGTCCGGGCTCTGGCTGGGCCACTCAAGGACATTCAGAGACTTGTCCCGAAGCCACTCCTACGTTGTCTTGGCTGTGTGCTTAGGGTCGTTGACCTGTTGTAAGGTGAACCTTCGCCCCAGTCTCTGGTCCTGAGCGCTCTGGAGCAGGTTTTCACCAATGGTCTCTCTGTACTTTGCTCCGTTCATTTTTCCCTCGATCCTGACTAGTCTCCCAGTCCCTGCCGCTGAAAAACATCCCCACAGCATGATGCTGCCACCACCATGCTTCACCGTAGGGATGGTGCCAGGTTTCCTCCAGACGTAACACTAGGCATTCAGGCCAAAGAGTTCAATCTTGGTTTTCAATCAAGTTGTAGAAACATCTCAAGGATGATCAATGGAAACAGGATGCACCTGAGCTAAATTTCGAGTCTCTTAGCAAAGGGTCTGAATACTTATGTAAATAAGGTATTTCTGTTTTTTATTTTAAATACATTTTCAAAAAATTCTAAAAACCTGTTTTCACTTTGTCATTATGGGGTATTGTGTGTAGATTGATGAGGAAAAATGTTTATTTAATCAATTTTAAAATAAGGCTGTAACGTAACAAAATGTGGATGGGAAGGGGTTTGAATACTTTCCGAATGCACTGTAAAAACGTATACAGTACATTCTGTTCTCAACATCAACAAACCTCTCTCTAGCCTCTATCTTCTTAAGTGTGTTCAGGTGTGTTGGCCGCGCCCTCTAATTGGCCACACCTGATCTTAATGTGTGCTTGTTTCCTTTGAAATGGGGTCTGTTTGAATAGACCAAAATGTATGTGTGTGTAAAAAAAAACTTGTATTCTAGCTCCATCATGGTGATGCAGTGGACTAATTCCATGGATAGAAAACAGAAGATTATAGGTTCGAATCTCACTGCTGTCGTGTCACAATAAAAAAATACATGTGTTTGCATGATTAATGCCTAAGGAAATTAATTTCCATGTGTCCTGTCTGTGATTGGAGTAAAACAAATGTTAAACGAAAATAAGCTAGCAGTGTTATTAAAATTATCATTGAAACATTCAGTGAAAGTTTTAAGAAAGTTATTAAAAAACCTCTAAATAACCTATAATTTCCATTCTCAGGAAAACTTTAAAGGAACCAGAGTAAAACGTTCTCAGAATCTCCCTGCATCCTAAAAATAAAAGTTCACAGAACAGATTAAATGTCCACTTGAAAAAACGTTCAGTTTTAACGGTCAGGAAACGTATGGCATCGTTCCCACAACCAAATTTGCTAACTGGGTATGAATTAAAAGTGAACAGTACCAGAGAAATGGCCATGTCATTAATGGTGTTACCGCCAATGTGGTGTCTCCTAAAAATGGCTGTGTCATACTTCTAAACTGTAGATCTCTGTCTCAGCTTTTCTCTGGGCCCCTGATACCCAGTTTTTATGATCACAGCTTACATCAATGTGCTGATGGTACATAGTTAAAGTCTGGGAGGTGACCAAAGTGGCAGCAAAGAGACACAAAGAGCTTAAGCCACCGCTAAGATCAGCAGAACAAAATCAAACATTAATGTTGGGGCTTCCTAACCAGAGCAGTGTGTTTGAGATCATACTCTTTTCCATAGTCTAAAGGCTTGTCACGCCCTGGCTCTGGGGACTCTAATATGTTGAGCCAGGGTGTGTAAAGTCTATGTGTGTTGTTCTAGGTTTCATTCTGGTATTGTGGTTCTATGTTGGCCAGTGTGGTTCTCAATCAGAGGCAACGTGATTCAGCTGTTGCTTGTTGTCTCTGATTGAGAACCATACTTTAGCAGCCTGTTTCCCCACAGAGTTTGTGGGATCTTGTTTCTAGTTGGTAGTGTTAGACCGTGAACTGTCACGTTTTCGTTTTGGATCGTGTCTCTAATAAAGAGTATGTTTGCCTGCAACGCTGCGCCTTGGTCCTCCTCTGTTCCCGACGATCGTGACAGAAGATCCCACCAAGACTGGACCAAGCAGCAAGTCCAGGAGCCAGCGCCTGAGAGATCTCTAGCGGATCTCCTTCGCCTCCTCGACTGGGTCAAGCCATGTGAGGAAGAGAGAGGCTTGACGTGGAGGCAGAAGGGCGAAAGGCTGGCGAGGAGCATGGAGACCTGGTCCACGGGTAGGAGTGAAGCCCATAAATTTTTTAGGGGGGGGCTAACGCCGTGGACGACGGGGCAGCAGGAGGCCGCCAGGTTACGGGAGTCACTGGTCACCAGGGGGAAGGAGGATGTAGAGGCACGGCGAGAGGTACTGGCGTGTGTTGCCAGTCCGGTCCGGCCTGTTCCTGATCCCCACGTAGGGCCAGTGGTGTGTGTTCCCAGTACGGTCCGGCCTGTTCCTGCCACTCGCACCAAGTCTACGGTGCGCATCGCCAGCTCGGCCCGGCCTGTTCCTGCTCCCCGCACCAAGTCTGTGGTGCGCGTCGCCAGCCCAGTCCGGCCCATTCCGTCTCCCCGCACCAAGTCAGTGGTGCGTTTCGTCAGCCCTGTCCGGCCCGTTCCTGCTCCCCGCACCAAGTCAGTGGTGCGCGTCGTCAGCCCGGTCCGGCCCATTCCTGCTCCCCGCACCAAGTCAGTGGTGCGTTTCGTCAGCCCAGCTCGGCCCGTTCCTGCTCCCCGCACCAAGTCAGTGGTGCGCTTCGTCAGCCGGCATGGCCCGTTCCTGCTCCCCGCACCAAGTCAGTGGTGCGCTTCGTCAGCCAGGTCCGGCCCGCTCCTGCTCCCCGCACCAAGTCAGTGGTGCGTTTCGTCAGCCCGGCTCGGCCCGCTCCTGCTCCCCACACCAAGCCAGTGGTGTGCGTCGTCAGTCCGGCACGGCCCGTGCCTGTTCCACCGGTGGCTGGTCCGGCACCGGTCAGATGCTTCACGCCGGAGCTAGAGCAATCCGCTCCACCAGTGTGCAGTCCAGCTCCGGCCAGCGGGGCCAGACCGGACCAGAGGTACTTTGGGGGGTTGGAGAGGGAGCGGGGATCAGGCCCGGAGCCGGATCCGCCGCCTAAGCGGAGTGCCCACCCGGTCCCTCCCCTGTGGTGTTTGGTGGGCGCGGTCGGAGTCCGCGCCTTTAGGGGGGGGTACTGTCATGCCCTGGCTCTGGGGACTCTAATATATTGAGCCAGGGTGTGTAAAGTCTATGTGTGTTGTTCTAGGTTTCATTCTGGTATTGTGGTTCTATGTTGGCCAGTGTGGTTCTCAATCAGAGGCAACGTGATTCAGCTGTTGCTTGTTGTCTCTGATTGAGAACCATACTTTAGCAGCCTGTTTCCCCACAGAGTTTGTGGGATCTTGTTTCTAGTCGGTAGTGTTAGACCGTGAACTGTCACGTTTTCGTTTTGTCGTTTTTGATCGTGTCTCTAATAAAGAGTATGTTTGCCTGCAACGCTGCGCCTTGGTCCTCCTCTGTTCCTGACGATCGTGACAAGGCTTAGTGAGTGGAATTCATTCTGTGGTGTGAGTGAGTGACAACACTTATATTAGCTCACTAATGGTACGCTAGAAGTACAGGAAACAATGGTCAGGATAGAGTGTGTGATTATGGCTGGCTTTGGCTGTCATGATTTACCTCAGCTGCTTTTACATCACTACAAGACAGACAGACAGTGTCTCGGTCGGCTTGCTCTTGCTGACTGTGTGTCTTCTCAAGGCCTCATTCGACTCCCAAGAAAACTCTTCCATCTTGTCTTCCTCTCTAACTATTTTACTGTGTGTTCGTCCCGCCATCTCCTGCCTCTTAATTCCTCTCTCTCTTCTTCCGCTTTGTACCTCTTCCTTTCCTCGTTTTCACTGTCATTGCAATGTCTCACTGGAATCCAAATATACAGTGGGGTCAGCCAGTGTATACCATTCAGTAAACACCAACTCCTTACCCCCTGAGAGAGAAGACGGGGTGGGACGGGCTCAGCCCAGCACGGTATGTGTTTAAAACTCATATCCACACTCTCTTTGAGGACATATACAGTATGTGTTAACATAAACCACCTCCAGTATGTTTACCCTTTTCTCTCTGCAGACTCACTCCACACTCTTGTTCCTCCTCTTCCTGTCTCTCTCTCAGTGATGATATCACATCGGCAGGCTGAGTCGCTGGCCGTGTCAGCTGTCGCGTGTGAACTATTTTTGGACGTCTAATCAACAGCTCTCTCCATAGCTTAGTTTAGAATTCCTCCCACCACACAGATAGCACTGTAGATACACATTGTCAGAGTCAAAGTATCTTGTTCTTTCTGTTTTTCTTTGTACTGTGAAGTGAGTTTCCACCTGTGGATTTGTTGATTAAATGTGGTTTATTTCGACCCTCCCTGTGCTACATTGGTAAAAATACTTTATCGGCTTAAAACAGGAAATTTAAGCACATTTTTGTGAGGTGGAAAGGCAATACCACCTGAGAGCTCTGTATGGGTTAGAAAGCTATTTTATTTTACAGTAAATGGCCTGGTTGCTGTAGTATTACAACTGGTACTGAGAAATGGAGTACTGTTAATACATTAGTCTATAATTTCAAGGTATTCTAAGGAAGTACCAATAGAAAATCCTGCGCTTAAATCAAGTTGGACTAAATGACCTCAATAACTGAATAACCAAAACCTCTCTCTCTCTCTCTGTATCCCCTGTAGAGTCGTACTCGGTGGCGGGCAGTGAGGGCAGCATCACTCCATCCGTAGGCTCCGTGCCCCCCCAGGCCTCCGGCAGCTCCAGCCCCTGCTCTCCCTCCTCCCCTGGGGGGTCGCGGCACTCCGTCAGTGCCCTGAAGAAGTGGCTCACCAACCCTGTCCACAAGCTGAGCGTGGGGGGAGGAGAAGGAGTGGAAGGAGGAGGGGGATGCAAGGAGGACAGGCTGGTCCACAGGCTGGATGGGAAGCATCCCTCTCCCCTCCTCCCTAACGGCCAAGCCCTTGTAAGGCCTCTGGAGCAGGGGGAGAACTACTCCATCCTCCCCTGCACTGATGGAGACTTGGTGAGGCATTACTCTCTACTATAGCCTTGGAATCCACACAGATGTTTCTATCAAATATTTGTATCATATCACTTCAGGACAAACCCCTGACTCCGATGACTTAATATGAATGCCCAAGTAACCTGAATATATTACTTGTGTGTGTGTGCTCGTGTGTGTGTGTGTGTGTGTGTGTGTGTGTGTGTGTATGTGTGTTATGTTGTGTATGTTGTGTGATGTGCAGGGAAACTATGGCCTGGTGAATCCAGCGGCGTACTCTCCAGCACACCCCCTCTGCCACAGCTACCTATCTGACCTACTACAGGACAGGGACACACACAATATGGTAAGGATTACACACACACAAATAGAGCAGACAGTGGACACTGGAGCCTTTTGTACCCCCGCACATTGATTCGGGACCGGTACCCCCTGTATACAGCGCCTTTGGAAAGTATTCAGACCCCTTGACTTTTTCCACATTTTGTTACGTTACTGCCTTATTCTAAAATTGATTAAATCTACACACAATACCCCATAATGACAAAGCAAAAACAGGTTTTTACACATTTTTGCTAATTTATTAAAAATAAAAAACTGAAATATCACATTTACATAAGTATTCAGACCCTTTACTCAGTACTTTGTTTCCCTCGATCCTGATTAGTCTCCCAGTCCCTGCCACTGAAAAACATCCCCACAGCATGATGCTGCCACCACCATGCTTCACCGTAGGGATGGTGCCAGGTTTCCTCCAGACGTAACGCTTGGCATTCAGGCCAAAGAGTTCAATCTTGGTTTCATCAGACCAGATAATCTTGTTTCTCATGGTCTGAGAGTCTTTAGGTGCCTTTTGGCAAACTCCAAGTTGGCTGTCATGTGCCTTTTACTCTACCGTAAAGGCCTGACTGGTGGAGCGCTGCAGAGATGGTTGTCCTTCTGGAAGTTTCTCCCATCTCCCCAGAGGAACTCTAGAGCTCCGTCAGAATGACCATCGAGTTCTTGGTCACCTCCCTGACCAAGGCCCTTCTCCCCCGATTGCTCAGTTTGGCCGGGCGGCCAGCTCTAGGAAGAGTCTTGGTGGTTCCAAACTTCTTCCATTTAAGAATGATGGAGGCCACTGTGTTCTTGGGGACCTTCAATGCTGTAGACATTTTTTGGTACCCTTCCCCAGATCTGTGCCTCGACACAATCCTGTCTCTGAGCTCTATGGACAATGGGGAACAGAGGGCACATATATACACACACTAATCAGGGGGAATGGGAACCAGGTGTGCGTAATGAGACAAGACAGTCCGGGGTTGTTGGTAATGAACTAGATCAGTGACGCCTAGAAGGCCGGTGACATAGACCTCTGGAGCTGGTGAATGGAATGAGCAGCAGTACCGGGGGATCCGTGACATAAGGCTGTAACGTAACAAAATGTGGAAAAAGTCAAGGGGTCTGAATACTTTCCGAAGGCACTGTATATAGCCTCGTTATTGTTATTTTATTGTGTACCTTTTTTTCATGTTTTCTTTTTACTTTTAGTTTATTTAGTAAATATTTTCGGAAATCCTATTTTTCTTAACTGCATTTTTGGTTAAGGGCTTGTACGTAAGCATTTCACAGGAAGGTCTACACCTGTTGTATTCGGCGTATGTGACAAATACAATTAGATTTTTGTTAGAGCTCTGTACTCAAAGGCTGATTCTGTGTTGATTGAGAGAACAGAGAGATATTACAGCTGTCAGAGCACTCATTTCCCTGTTAGTCAAACACTGGCACTGAGGCTGAAACAACTCCCTTTAAATATCAATATTCAATAAGCAGAGAGTGGGGGGAGGTGGAGAGAGAGAGAAAGCGGGATGAGAGAGAGGGAGAGAGAGAGAGAGAGAGAGAGAGAGAAAGAAAGCAGGAACAAAATAAAGAAAGAGAGGGAGAGAGAGAGAAAGAGAATCCTGACCCACAGAGAAAGCAGAGGAGAATTAACCATAAATAGACATAAGGTCAGAAAACAGCAAGTCTTTCCTCATGTAACCTGAGATACCACTGTTGCTGGGCAACCACTTATTGGTTAATGCAAAAATCCTGGAAATTAGACCATGAACATTCAAACGGAGCACATAAGCAATGCTAGAGTCATCAAACAAACCAGAGGAGTATGCTAAATTAGCATAGCTAATGTTTATCAAACATAACAGTTTCCCCCTCAAATACACTGGGAATGCTGTACAGTATATTCAGTGTATCTGGCAGTTACTCCACTTCACCCAAACATTACCTTCAAAGAACAACTTTGCCTTATCAGTTATTACACTCACATGCACACAAACACACACACAAATACACACACACACTCTCTCCCTCAAACAATCAGGAGAAAACTCTCAACCATCTGAAATCTAAAGAACCTTTAAGAAAGCCCTGCGCAGTGGGATTTTCCAGGCTGCATCTGGAAGTGATCAAGCAGCAAGGCAGTAGATCAGCCCCGGACAGCCTACTGCCTCCACAGACTCACTGGGGAGCTGAAAACAGGGTCAGGGCTGGGGGTGGAGGGCTGGAGGGCTGGAGGGGTGGGTGGAGGTGGGTTAGTAGAGTAGAGGTCCGGGGAAGACTAGGGCGTGGGTGTTAGAGAAAGGGCTACAGGGTTAGGGAGCAGGGGTAGGGGTAGAGAGAGGTTGAGGGAGAAGTGAGTAATGGGGGATAAAATAGAAACCTGGGAGGCTATCAAGGGGAGGGAAGAGGGAGGTAGAGGGGGACTGGAAGTCAGAACAGGGTGTCTTGGGTGAGTCTAGGTCAGGCTTAGAGAGGCTGGAGAATTCACGGGAAGGAAGGAGGGGGGGGGGCTGCTTTAGGAAGTGATAGGGGGAATGGCCAGGCTGGAAATGTCTTCTCACTCCCTCCCTCCTCCTAACTCTTACTGAAACTCCAGAGTTTACACAACGGCACATTCTAACCACTGAAACTCTCCATGAGGGTCAATAAATATGTAAATCTTTAGGACTCCCATCACAGCTCTGCCTTTACCTTTACCTCCCCTCCACGGTCAGAAGAGACGACCCTGAGCTGAGCTGCCATGAACAGGCTACTTCACTAGGTCCATCAGCTCTGCCATCCCTTTAACATAGATTAGGTACTGGTGAATAGACCTACTGTCTGTGGGCTGCCTGGAGGTGGTAACATTAGGATATGAGGAAGAAGGAGTCAAACGCACTACGGACATCATGGACATCAGCACCCATTTGTGTGTGTGTGGCGATTTAGAATGCTCGTCATGATTGGGGGCTTTGTTGAGCATAACCAGGCCTGGCTTGGTCACTCAGGAGGAGGAAGTGATGGAAGGATGACTTAACCCAGCATTAAAAAAAACAGACTGATAAATGGAGAGAGAGAAAAGATGGAATAGAGAAGAAGAGGAGATGAAGAGAGAGAGAGAGAGAAGATAGCAAGAGAGAGAGAAGGATAGAGTCTACTAGATAGGATGATCAGAGGATAGAAGCAGAGAGCTATAGAGATAGATAGAGAGACTCGTAGAGAGAGAGACTCTCTCTCTCTCTAGAGAGAGAGAGATGACTGAATGGGAGTATTAGTGTAGTAGAGGGGTTGAGTGGTGGTGCAGATAAATACAGGGGTGGCTGTAGTTTTAGAAAGAGAAGATTGTATTCCTATTCAGAGATTAGCCTGTGTTTGAGGTAAGGACTCTTATTTGGTCACTGAAATATTACTCTCTCGCTATTTCAGCCTGCTATCACCTAGGCAACCCTGTCTGGCACACAAAATATCTACCTCTCTTTCTCCCTCTGCATAAGTGACTATTTGACTCTATTCATTTGACTTCATAATTTCTCTTCCACCACCTCTCTCCACCTCTCCAGTACATGTAATACTCTAAAATACCTCAGCAGTTTCAATAAATAGGAGAGAGGGAGAGAAAGAAAGAGAGGATAGTGATGGAAAAGTGCTTATTGCTATCAGAGTACAGGGGGTGTGGACTAAGTGGCACAGCAGGCAGTTTTTTTCAGAGGGGATAAGTAGTGAGGAGTCTCCCACCTGGAACAGCCCACAGGGTGCTGGCCTGGCCTTGTCCTGAGGAGTCTCCCTACTTCCTCCCTCACCTTCCCATGGACGTCTGCTTCCTGGATTAGGAGACAGCCGCCAGCTGTAGATGAGGTCCAATTAATGAACTGTCTGTCTGGCCTGGACTATATGCTCTCTTTGTATAGCAGACATATACTTATAGTCAACAGACCTGGCGGGAATACATGTATACACCTCTCCACCCTCTGCTTTCAGAACCATCAATGTTCCACTATTCTCCCAGAAGAAGAAGACAGCTCCTCCCTGATTGATGACTCGACCAGCCAATGGTCAGCCACCACGGACAGTGAGGAGGACAGGAGGAGTGCCTTAGAGAAGAGCATGTAGGTGGTGGTGACCTCCACGTGAACCCACCCTGTGTCCAGTCTTATGGCCCCTATCCCATTAATGGACTGGACTGTCAGTTTTCCACCACAGTATAATGCAGCATCTGAGTGCTACTGGTGCTGCAGTCATTAAGTCCCTGATAGTGTCCCAAATGGCACCCTGTTCCCTACACAGTGCAATACCCTATGGGCCCTGGTCAAAAGTAGTGTACTATACAGGGAATACGGTGCCAGTTGGGATGTAATTCCGTATGCTGTGTCCTGATGAGAGCTAACAGTGTGATGGAAGGGCTGACTCCACTCTGGGAGAACCCCATCCCTCACTGTAATGAGAGAAGACACTGTTTTATGGCTGCCCTCTATTACTACAGCCAACTCATCTCATCTTCTCTCTCTCTCTCTCTCTCTCTCTCTCTCTCTCTCTCTCTCTCTCTCTCTCTCTCTCTCTCTCTCTCAGATATGTGCTGACAGAGCTGATAGAGACAGAGAAGTTGTATGTGGATGACCTGGGACTCATAGTAGAGGTGTGGGACAAATCTATCATCTGACATTTTTTATTGCTGACACCCTATCAGTTATTGTTGTGATATAAAGTACAGTGCACCGTAAGTCTCCTATTTTTGTTATGTCATAGAAGTTATTATGCTATTGTCTCTACCATATTACACAATGATGACTTTAGCCAGATGCCCTCTTGTTAAGTAGCAGTATTTCCCTTCCTGAGGTAGTGTTTATGTGTGTGTGTGTGTGTGTGTGTGTGTGTGTGTGTTTGTGTCTTCTGCTCTGCCCAGGGCTACATGGCCAGCATGGCCAGTCAAGGGATTCCAGAGGACATGAAGGGCAAAGACAAGATAGTGTTCGGGAACATCCACCAGATCTATGACTGGCATAAAGAGTAGGTCTCACGCTTTTGGCTAAACGTGTGTGTTTGTCTGTGTGTGTGTGTGTATGTGAATACTGAGCGCTCTTTATGTGAAGAGTGTGTGTGGAGTGTGTGTGAGTGCTCACTGAGACTGGAGCATGTTTATCAATATGCATCATATAAGTCTGTTCCTCTCACACTAAATCCACATGGCTGTCAGACATTTCCTGTGTGTGTGTGTGTGTGTGTGTGTGTGTGTGTGTGTGTGTGTGTGTGTGTGTGTGTGTGTGTGTGTGTGTGTGTGTGTAGTCTCTGAAAGCCCGTCGGATCTGTTTCTCTCGCTCCTTCTGTGTTTGTATCTCTGTGTGTATCGGTTTCCATGTGTATAGTTGTGTGTGTATCTGTGTTACTCTTCCCCTCTGCCTGTGTGTGTAGAAGAGTGTATATTGGTGTTTGACCCTCTCCTCTGCTCTGTGTGTCACAGCTATCTCCTGGGGGAGCTGGAGAAGTGTGTGGCTGAGCCCGACAGACTGGCCCAACTCTTCATCAAGCATGTGAGTCTGTGTGTGTGTTTGTGTGTGTGTGTGTGTGTGTGTGTGTGTGTGTGTGTGTGTGCTTGCGTGTGTACGCATATGTACGTTTGTGTGTGTGTGCAAATGAGTGTATGTTTGTGTGTGTTTGCATGAGTGTAACTCTTTGTTTGCGGACACACCATGACAACCTAGCCCCTTACATGGTCTTTGATTCTGTTTTCTTGTATTTGGAATGAAGTTCCAGGGTGTCTCTCTGTGTGTTTGGTAAGAAGTCCTGGTCTCTTCATAGAACTGACTGTGTTTAGTGTCCCTGTCTCTGGCTCACTGCCATCCAGATGTGTCTTGATCGTTCAGGTTGCCTGGAGGAGAGGAGAGCCGAATGCCAGTAGAATAATAATAAGTGCAGGCTTAATTATCCTAAAGAGCTTTTTACTATGCTACGGTCAGCTAACAGAACAGTTACAAAGAGCCAGTGTTCAAACGCCAGACTGTTTGTGAAACTGCAGAGCCAAATGAGCCAGAATGACAGATAAATGACATTCAAAGCAAATAAACAGCTGTGTTTGTACTTAGTGCACACACACAAACACACAGACGTGCGTGCGCGCACACACACACTCACACACACACAATAACAACCGGGTTTGTGTGTGAAGGTCAGGATCTCACAGAAAAAATGAGGCAGAGTGAGAAGAAGAGCAGGACCGTGGCAGGAAATAGTCCATATACACATATTCTTACATTATTTTCTATAGACACTCACACACACACACACACACACACACTTTCTATTTCTCTCTCCCACCCCCCCACTCCTCTCTCTCTCTCTCTCTCTCTCTCTCTCTCTCTCTCTCTCTCTCTCTCTCTCTCTCTCTCTCTCTCTCTCTCTCTCTGTGTCCCAGTTCCTTCATTAGTCCAGCAAGTTTAATTAAGCAAGAGTGAATTAAACGATTCTTCCCAAGCTGCCGGAACCATTTAATAAGGCAAAGTTCCTGCTCTTATTTAACAGATTTCAAAAAGGCCTGGAGGGGAAGGAGAACTGAGTCAAACTTAGAGGAATAAGAGGGTTAGAGCAGCCATGATGGGGGAGGCACTTAGCCTACACACCAAAACATACACACAGACCTGCTCACACTAGCTCTCTCACACACAGGGACCACAGGCGCCACCATCTGGTATAGCTCTCTTATCATCTCTGTGTTTGTTTTTGGACCTCTAGGAGCGGCGTCTCCACATGTACGTAGTGTACTGTCAGAACAAGCCAAAGTCAGAGCATATTGTCTCAGAGTATATCGAGACGCACTTCGAGGTGAGTGACTCTTCACAGTACAATTACAAAGACAGTTTAAGAGCAGTTTAATCCCATTCAGGCATCGTTCTAGTCCAATTCCTCTTATTTCTCTAACTCTGGTTTGGGTTGTTTGTATCTTAAGTGCTCATTCTATATCTTTATTTATTTCTGACTGACCCAAACCTGCCCTTAGTTCTGTGTGTTCTATGTGGGTGTTGCTATGAGGAGCTAACCTGTCTGGTTCTGTAGGAGCTGAGGCAGCAGCTGGGCCACAGACTACAACTCAACGACCTGCTCATCAAACCAGTACAGAGGATCATGAAATACCAACTACTGCTCAAGGTGTGTGTGTGTGTGTGTGTGTGTATGTGTGTGTGTGTGTGTGTGTGCGTGTGCGTGCGTGTCTGCATGTGTACTTGTCCAAGCGCGTCCTGTGCGTATACAGGTGTGTTTGAAATCCCCCTGGAATATGGAAAATAACTGGTATAATTAGCATGATGTCATCTAGCCCTAGCTGATTTGAGTCATTGTGTAATGGAGCTGTATTGAATGACTTGTCGCTGCAAGAGATGGCGAGAAAGAAAGGCAAGAAGAAAGACAGATTAGGAGTGACTGGAGAATAAGCAGCCCGCCCCGCAGCATTGTGGGAGCTTTTACTGTGATTTAGAGATGAATATTGAAAGCTTTTGTCCCAAGAGTCCCAAGTCCTCTTATCAGCTCCCTAATCTCACAGTGGATAATATGTCGCTCTTACATTATGAAACACAAGATACAGTACAGTCCCATTTTGTTCAGTAATCCCTCCGAAACGTTCAGGAACTATTCTCTGATTGGCTCCCTCAGGACTTCCTGAAGTACTACACCAAAGCAGGAAGGGATACCTCAGAGCTGGAGGTGAGAGTTCTCCCAAAACCATGGTACAAACAGTCATGGTCAAAACATTTCCAATACTTACTTGTGATATTACTGTAAACTGCACACACAGAGTTTTCTCTCATGTACACAGCTCTGTTGGAGAAATCGGAAAAAGGACTGTTTTAAGTTGCAAACGATGATTATCTATCCCACACCATCTCTTTCTCTCTTTTTATTTCATGTTCCTCTTTCCCTATCTCCACCCCTCCTCTTCTCCCACCCACAGAGAGCGGTGGAGGTGATGTGTTTCGTGCCCAAGCGCTGTAATGATATGATGAACGTGGGCAGGCTGCAGGGCTTTGAGGTGAGATATCAGACACCAGACGCTGTTCTCCATGTGATGTTGTGTTTTCTAGTACAGTTGGCAAGCATGTATGTGATTACTGAAAACAGGTGGAAACCATTTTGATTATATCACTTGTCAAACAAAAACAATATACATGATGAGTATGAAAAAAGTATGCAAATGTATTCACTCACTACTGTAAGTCGCTCTGGATAAGAGCGTCTGCTAAATAAAAAAAATGTAAAATGTAAAATTAGTATGTTTTCCTTTATATCTTATCTTATGGGGGTCTCTCTCTCTCTCTCTCTCACTCTCTCTCTCTCTCCCTCTCTCTCTCTCTCTCTCTCTCTCTCTCTCTCTCTCTCTCTCTCTCTCTCTCTCTCTCTCTCTCTCTCTCTCTCTCTCTCTCTCTCTCTCTCGCTCTCTCAGGGGAAGATCACAGCCCAGGGGAAGCTGCTCCAGCAGGACACCTTTACAGTCAGTGAGCAGGACAGCAGCTTCCTGTCCCGCGCCAAGGAGAGGCGGGTCTTCCTGTTTGAACAGCTGGTCATTATCAGTGAGCCAATCGACAGGAAGAAGGGCTTCTCTCTGCCAGGGTACACCTTTAAAAACAGCATCAAGGTGAGAATGACAGAGTACTGTTTGTTTGTGTCTGTGTCTGTGTCTGTGTCTGTGTCTGTGTCTGTGTCTGTGTGTGTGTGTGTGTGTGTGTGTGTGTGTGTGTGTGTGTGTGTGTGTGTGTGTGTGTGTGTGTGTGTGTGTGTGTGTATGTGTGTGACCCCTGTCTCTCTCTCTGCTGCAGCTCAGTTGTCTGGGTGTGGAGGACCACTGTGAGGAGGACCCATGTCGTCTGGTCCTGACGTCCCGTGGGCCTGATGGGAGCGTGACGCGCTTCGTCCTGCAGGCATCGTCCCCGGAGACGCGGAGGGCCTGGGTCAACGACGTGGTCCAGATCCTGGAGACACAGAGGAACTTCCTCAACGGTACTCCTGCTGACTGCTAGGCCAAGGGCCATATACATAATGTGTCCCAAATGACACCCTATTCCCTATTTAGTGCACTACTTTTTCTCTGATGTTTACACACACAAGTATACACTGAGTGTACAAAACATTTCCATGACATAGACCAGGGTTCTACAATTCCGGTCCTGGAGGGCCGAAACACTTCTGTTTTTTATTTCTACCTGGTATTTAATTGCACTCACCTGGTGTCCCAGGTCTAAATTAGCCCCTGATTAGAAGGAGAGGATGAAAAACAGAGGTGTTTCGGCCCTCCAGGACCGGAATTGAAGAACCCTGACATAGACTGACCAGGTGAATCCAGGTGAAAGCTATGATCCCTTATTGATGTCACTTGTTAAATCCACTTTAATCAGTGTAGATGAAGGGGAGGAGACCAGTTAAAGAAGGAATTTTTAAGCCTTGAGACAACTGAGACATGAATTGTGTATGTGTGCCATTCAGAGGGTGAATTGGCAAGAAAAAATATTGAAGTGCCTTTGAACGGGGTATGGTGGTAGGTGCCAGGCGCACTGGTTTGAGTGTGTCAAGAACTATAACGCTGCTAGGTTTTTCACACTCAATAGTTTCCTGTGTGTATCAAGAATGGTCCACCACCCAAAGGACATCCAGCCAACTTAACACAACTGTGGGAAGCATTGGAGTCAACATCGGCCAGCATCCCTGTGGAATGTTTTTGACAAATTGTAAAGTCCATGCCCCAACGAATTGAGGTTGTTCTGAGGGCAAAAGGGGTGCAACTCAATATTAGGAAGGTTTTCCTAATGTTTTGTAAACTCAGTGTATGTTGTTGTAAAATATGATAAAACATTTCAGGATATTTTGAAGCTGTGTTTACTGTGTCAACTGCATGATTGTTTCTCACTTCTTCTCCCTCCAACTAACCTCCTCTCCTCCCAATCTCCTGTTGTCCATAGCTCTCCAGTCTCCTATAGAGTACCAGCGTAGGGAGTCCAACAGCCTGGGACGAGCAATGAGGGCTCCCGTGGCAATGTCCTCTGGCCTGCGACCCCACTCCTCGGCCTCCATTGACCGCCACCGGCTACCTTACTTGCGCTCCTACAACACCTCCCTGCCCTCCCTGCACCTGCCCAGCCAGGGACCCACTGCGGACACACAGGTAGGCACTAATAATACTCCGGCTGTGTCCCAAATGGCGCCCTATTCCCTACATAGTTCACTACTTTTGACCAGAGCCTTATGGAATAGGGTGCCATTTGGGACATAACCCACTGACTGCACCAATGCACTCACAAGATTTCATCTGATGATGATCGTAGCAAGTGAAGATAAAATAGTGTTAGTAACTACTTGTAAAAATATATTTAATCTAATTACCTAATTATTTCTCTCTCTCTCTATTTCTCTCTTTCTCGCTCTCTTTCTCTTATTCACCTCTCTTTTCTCTCTTTCAGTCCCCACTGTACCTTAGCAATGCGACACGCCGTCCCTCTCACCTCCCTCTGACCAGCCCTCTGCAGCTCACCTTGTCCCCAGAGGCCAGGCACTGCCAGGGGGTGTCCAACGGCCTGTGCCCCCCTGCCCAGCACAGCTCACAGGTATTCAATCACACTGCAGGGAAATACAATAAGAACCCACTAACTCCAACACTCTCAGTACAGCAGTGAGTATCTTGCAGGTTCTGATAAGTCACAACTCTAATCCACATTGACCAAATCCTATTTTGAGATCGACCACACATGTCTACAGAAATATAATTAAAGCATGATTTACAGTACAGGAAAGTCTGAATTATTTTCCAATTTAGGACTCACCACAATGAGCCCGATATCTGTCATTAACCTCCCATAAACTCTCTCATCACTTCAGATCACAAAGAGATCAGCGAATGGTTTAGTTGATAAATAGCTCTTCTACAGTTAGGATGAGGGGAATAACTGTGAAGTCAGCTCTTTCCCAAGTTCTTTATTGTTTTATCATATTATTCCCCTGGCCATTGGCCTTGGTTGTCATGGTTGTCAGTGCTAGAGGGAAATGACTGGGCCAGTCCTCTCCTCTGTCCTAATGGGAGATATCCTGTTGTTGTTCCCAGCTGGGGATACCAAACTAATGGCACGCTGGCTGGCTGTCATATTGATCTGTGGTCAGTTCCTAGAAATACGATAGAAACCATAAAGATAAAGATTGCAGTCAAGTCCCTCAAGTCCCACTGATCCCAAGTCAGAATACCCTGAGGATTACTTAATCTTCAGCAGACAAACTGATCCCCAGTCAGTTTGAGGCAGGTTCAGGGTTAAAAACATTCCTTTGTCCCAATGTTCTCCAGTCAGTTCCCAGGGATAACTAGCCCAATGCCCTGACTGGTGGTTTATCTTATTTAGCCAGACTCTCACCATTAAAATGAGGAAATTGGTTTGATTGCTGGACTCTTATCAGAGAGGCTTGTCATGCATGTTTCCACACTTCATTTAGTTCCTCCTCCTCTCTCTCTGGTAGATGCAGAAAGGAGGATAGGGAACTTTTGGGGCCTTTGGAAAAAAGTGTAGTGTTGTCCTATCAGTGGGTTGATGAGGGCTATTTCAAACTGTTCTGGTGTGTTTGGAAAGAGATGTTGTATGCTACAATAGATATAGAGAAGGTGAGAGGACTGATAGCATTCTGTGTGAAGGCTGAGTGAGTTCAAACTGTTGGGTCACTTTCTCTTCCTGTCTCCATCCAGGGTTGATGTAAGGATAGGATCTTGCTTTAGAACCATTCAACATACCATCAGCTTTGTCTTTCCCCTTTCCTTTTTGCAAGGCTAGGTAGGGTCTCTATTTCTCTGTGTGTGTCTCTATCTTCCTCTCTTTCTCTCTTCTGTCTGTCTCTCTCTCTCTTTTTGTGTGTAGGACTATCTCTCTCTTTTCTCTCCTCTCTCTCTCTCTCTCTCTCTCTCTCTCTCTCCTCCTCTCTCTCTCTCTCTCTCTCTCTCTCTCTCTCCTCTCTCTCTCTCTCTCTCTCTCTCTCTCTCTCTCTCTCTCTCTTTCTCTCTGGCACTGGTGCTAGGGCCATGGGATCTTGAGTGTTGTTATCAGGCTTGTTTTGTGCTGGGCCCTTCCTGTAAAGCCAGTTCGTTCACTGTCTCTCTCTGGCACGCTGAGCACCGACAGACCGACCAACCGGAGGTCCTGAGATTGAGAGCTCTGCTCACTGTGTGGAAATGCAGGTGATCCAGGAAACAAAGGAACTCTGAATCCATTAGAAACCATTCAACTTAAAAGCATATGGTATATTCCATTCAGTTCAGTTCCATATGACTTCATTAACCTCCTCAGGGACAATAAGGAAGAAATTGCCATAGCACAAGTCAACAATTACCTACTTCCTCCTATACACAATATACAGGCCTCCTTGTAACACAGATACAGACTTACATTACATCATTACATTCAGAGACTGCACAGATGTACAAACGGAATATGTTCAGACTTAAATGTAATAAAGGCTTTGATATAAAAGTTATTGACACATTAAGCCTCTTGGCCCAGGTATGACTCCACTATGTGTATGTAACTGAACACACTGCCTCTGTCTTCTCCTGTCTTCTCAGGGTGGTACTGACTGGTACCATGGAGCCATGCCGGGGGAGGGAGGGGCTTACGCAGCGCATCGCTCAGGCAACCTGGATCAGCTGACAGAACTCTCTCTGCATGAGCATGAGTGCTGATAACCTGTGACTTCACAGACTGAATGAAGGGGTGTAGGGTGAAGTTGCCGCTAGACGCTGATCTTAGGTCAGTTTAGAATTTCCCCCAGATTAGGTTTGGGGGATGGGGAAGCTGATCCTAGATCTGTACCTAGTGCAACCTTCACCCCAGAGCGAATGAGGGGCAGGCTGAGAGAGCCCTGGTTAGCCTGGCTCCACTCCACTTAGGACAGGCAGGGGGCCTGGGGCAGGGTCAGTTCAGACAGTTTCACTATCACCACTCTTGTGATTACCCTAATATAGCTCTATATTACGATTACTATGGTATCTTTTTTGGTTGATATTTCTGTCATCTTATTATATTTTCTACTATTTTGAAACCTCTACTTACTATTGTGATGTGAGAAGTGAAGCAGAAGTGCAGCCCTCGTGGTGTATCTGTGAGAGAAGAGGAAAAGTAAACGATGGTCTCTGATGTTGACAGTGTGTTTGTGGGTGAATGTTGGTATGTGTGTGTGACTGGTGGAATGCAACTGCGATGCAACGGTTGCTATTCACACTGCACATCGTTTCCACAGTACAGTACCACTAAGTTTGTCATGAGTTTATACAGAATTCAACTTGATATGGTGACATTCTTAACACCATTTGTTTTCATATAGAAATAATAGACATTTGGGAACTACCACTTCTAAAGTCGCCAGCTCTTTCCTGTTGCTTTTTCTTAAACACGGGGACCATATTACCATTATGCTACTGCTTCGTGTGACAGCTTTTATCACTTTGCACAACAAGGAAAGTAAACACCAGCGGGGAGGAAATGACATATCTATTCTCTGTCTCTCTTCCTAAATAGCTGAAGAAAGCACACGTAAACTCACACAAAGCCCACTCAAAAATGAAGGAGAGAGGACAAGGGAACAAAGATAGAGGCGGTGCTCATCTGTCAGTCATCATGAATGTAAATAATCTGCTATGGGATCATATCAATAAAAATGTTTATGAAACACTGTGCTGCTGTTTCTCCCCCATCATACTTCTGGTCTTGGTCATGGTCATGTTATGTTATAAGACTGACAAAAAGGAACTGATAGTGAGATGACTTGAATATCCTGGAAAACCCCAGAATGCCCATTTCCTTCACGTAGCCTACACACTAACTGTTGCCTTTGTGAAATGAATACTTCCACCCCACAGGAACAATACAAAAGTGAACAATAGCACCACTAAGCAAGAGAAATTCGATGTATTCAGTATAAAACTAAACAATATCGTTTCACACATCCATTGGTGATTTGCTTGGTTCCTTGACAGTCTTTGGTAGGAGGGACCTGGAAAAAATACTTAAGGTATTTAGCTCCCTCAAATGGTGAGTTGAGGGACAACTTTAAATGCTCAAAATAGGGCTCTTGGTGATAAATGGCTACGTGAAGATAGAAGATGCTCACACTCATGTTCAAATATAGCTTTTCAGGTGAGATGCTGAGGTTTCTGCCAGTGTATTTCAGATTTGGGAAGAATTTGAGAAATAAAACGCCAACCGGGGAATGGGTGGGATCATAAATTGCCACCACAGCTAAATCAAAGGACACCGCTATCAGCTGGGGGCCAATAAACACAGGACATTCCTTCTTGGTTAGAGCTCTATGTTGCTATACGACTATCCATAGAGAGGAGATTATTAACTGGCTAAACAGTAACTGACAACAGTTGACAAAATGGCTAAACAATCATTTGAATTATCATTGCTGAAAGTGTTCAGTCTTTTTTATTGTTTTATTTAAATGAAATCAAGCTCAGTTTGTTTTACTCAAATGTAGTTTTGTTTATTTCTGATTTTATACTCATGTAATGTAGATCAATGTCAATTGAATCACACTATTATTTTAGCTTTCTGACAACCAAATACATTTTATTATATCAATATAAATGTCCTAAAAATACACACTTAAGAAATAAGCCCAATAAGCCAATACTTTTTACTTATCCAGAAGAGAATTTGGTCCTTCCCCTAAGGATTAATTAATAACACAATCATTTCTAGTGTAGTGTTTATTATTGAAAACTGTAACACTGCAGTCAGATATTCTCTACTGGCAGACTGAATGAAAATAACCATTGTAAACAGCATTATCTCCATAATTATTTGTATTCTGACTTCCTCCCTGATATCTTTGGTCATTCTCTGATACCAGTTATCTCCATTAGGGGTCCATGAGAAAGGAATATTCAACCTCCTCAGCTCTTCTGCTTTTATTGCCAATCTCCACACAGGCAGTCGTGCTGAACAGAACAGCCTCTGAAGATCACAGGCCTCCTGCTGGTGGCCCAGTGGACAATGCTGGCTACAATGACCATGACAAACATGTTGTCATGACAATGGTTTGATGGAGTAAAAGTTTGTGTGTTTGCAAGCAGTCTATTTCTCCAGAGAAAGGCCATTGAATCCCTGGTCTGCTCTTGACTCTGTCTCCACACTGACCCTTCTGTCTTTCTGCTCTTTCTGAGGGTCTCCACAACACGCTGACCGCGAGTCACTTGGCTTTTGATATTTTCTCTACTCTTTCTTGATGTTCCTGGCTGGTCCTCTGGTGCCACCCTGTGGCTGTGGAGCCTCCTGTTGGGGGTCCTGGCTGTCGTGGCCACTCCTACCCTGGTGGGTCTTCTTGTGTTTTGTCAGGTGGTCACTCCGCATGAACCTCTTCCCACATGACTGGCAGCCGAAGCGCTTCTCCCCCGTATGTGTGCGCAGGTGCCTCTGCAGCTCGTCTGAGCGTGTGAAGTTCTTCCCACAGAAGAGCCATCTGCAGACGAAAGGCTGCTCCCCGGCATGCCAGCGCAGGTGGGCCTTCAGGTGGGAAGTCTTCTTGTACACCTTGCCACACTCGGGCAGGTGGCAGATGTGGAGCCTCCTCTGGCCTTGTTCCTCAGGGTTGGCTGGAGCCCCTGTGCCCCCAGAGGAGGCCTGGCAGTTGGGGCACTTGCAGCAGCGTGTGGAGCCCAGCAGGCCCTTGGAGGAGCCTTGGAGGAGGGCTGCAATCTGAGGCTGGTTCTCCAGCCCCAGCTGTCTGCCCAGGGCAAAGCGGTGAGGGTGGTGATGGTGGGTCTGGCCATGAGGTTGCTGATGACCATGGGGGCTGCTGGTGGTCTGGGGCAGGCTCCACCACTGCTGACCTTCCTCTGTATGCCGACCAGGGTGGTGGGGGTGTCTTGTTGTGGAACCTTGAAGGAAGTTAGGAAAGTTCTCCCCCATACAATTGTGCTGGTGGTGGAAGTATGGGGTATGAGAGCTACCCTGGACCTGAGGAGCGGGCATCTTCACTGGGGGGAGCTCAAAGGCGTAGGCAGCCGGGGTGGAGGAGGGCTCAGCAGGAGGGGTGAGAGGCAGCTCATGGAGGGGGTGGTGGGTATGGGGGTGAAGGCCCAGTCCGCTCTGGACGTGTTCAGGAAAATGTAGTTTTGGCACTGTCAGAGTTGCCACCTGTTGGACCCCTAGACTGGAGCTCTGGGCCACTTCACTGCCCCACATCTGGAGCATCCCAGTCATGGAACTCATGGTCCCCTCATAGGAAGAGTGTGGCCGCTCCTGCCCCACTCCACTGCCCCCCAGTCGGGCTTGGCCACAGGCTCTGGCCAGGAAGGAGGAGAGGGGATGGGGCCCATTCTCAGGAGAGGAGCTGGGTGTGCGGTCCTGTGGGGTATAGAAAGAATGGATGACATGCTGTACACTATTGAATTGGATATTCTTGAGCACAAAACCAGATACAAAATCAAGATATTATAGTGATAACACAGAAGTTAGACCTTCTTTCTAATGTGATAATATAGAGAAACTATAGAACAGTGGTGACCTTTTACTGTGGACCTCTACATCTCTATTTCTAAATGATATGTTATAATTGTACTGATGTTGTCAATGTATTTAATTAACTAAAATTGAGTAAATATTTTAAGGTAAAATACTGCTAACAAATTAAACCAGACGAATTACTAGAAATATACTGGGAGAAAATGTATCAATAATCGCACTTGACACTCTCAAAATTTACTCTAAAGTAGGCTAACACTGAAATGACTCTCCCATACCGAGATTCCTCTAAAAACATTTAAAACAGATTTTCCTCACCTGTAAGAAAGGGTTTAGAAAGTGGTCGGTCCCCGGCAAAGCGGCCATGACTTTTTGTGTGTCTCCACTGCGCGCTTCTGCGGCCAACGTAGCTTTTTAACTGGTCTCAGCACAAGCGCAGCACCGAAACAAAATCTAGAAAACAGGTTTGTCATCCAAAGTCAGACTCCTTTTCTGAATATGTTTTTTTTTTACATCATAATGTGCTTTATATTGTTGTGAAGAAACAAAAAATAACATCGAATAAAAATGTATTGTAGAAATGATGAATTCCGAAATCCGGGCTCCGGCGCTATCCTTCTGCAACCTTGACTTCACTGATTGCCTTGAACGCTATGACTGGATATCCTTTGAAGTGTGTGTGTGTGTGTGTGTGTGTGTGTGTGTGTGTGTGTGTGTGTGTGTGTGTGTGTGTGTGTGTGTGTGTGTGTGTGTGTGTGTGTGTGTGTGTGTGTGTGTGTGTGTGTGTGTGTGTGTGTGTGTGTGTCAATGAGAGGGTTATATTAATCTCGCCCGGGCGCCCGTGTAGGCGTGTTTTGCATTGGCTCAAAGTTAAATTGATTGCATTCGATTTGGAACCGGGCTGCCTCCCGGGCGTGAGCCATGTGCCCCGTTAAAAGCCCACGGCGAAGTCGGCTCAAAACAAAAGTGACGTATTTAAGCACATGTAGTAGCATAATTAGTAGGATTCTGTGTTTTCCCATACGAAGGTGATTGTGTTTGATATTTGGCCTAAACGCTCTATCTTCCTTCCCAATGAAAAATAGTTAGAAAACATTTCAAACATGTATTTTATGGAAAAGAGCTGTTGTATGTTTCTGGACGATGCACCATGCTGCACTGTTGACAAAATGACAGAGTGG